GCGTCGCACTGAAAAACACGCTTGGCTTGTTGCCACAGAAGCTATATTTCTTCCCAGAAGTTACTCTTGCTTTTCGGGATTTGCTTTTTTTAAAGTATTTTTCATAAAGGAAGAGTCCTTCCTTGAGTAGCTCGCGCTCTGGCACGGATCACGTTACAAGCTGATTAGATCTGGTTTCTAGGAAACTAAAAATCAAGATAATTAACGCATTGCAGGGCTCCCGGGCTTGCTCCTTTCCTCTCGTGTTATCCAAACTCATGTTGTACACCTGGCCAGCTTCGCCAAAGCATTAGTCGGAAGAGTTTGAGGCTTCATCACTGTTTTTAAGGAGAGAGGCAGGAGGATTCTCGCTTCCCAAGCCATGGGGGTGCTGACGGAGACTTTTGTCCCCTGAGGCCAGATCCGAAGTCACGCTGCCTACCGTGAAGTTCAAAATGAAAAGTTTATTGAGTCATTTAAGCCACCTTAATTGCAGCGTGCGAGAGTGAATATAGCAGGCTGAGCTTTTAGCAGCTTGATGGCGGTGCCGTGCAATGCTCTCCGCTTTCAGCTACCTGCCTGCTATTTCAGCAAAGTTCTTGTTCTGAGCACGCAGACGGGGAGCCTGCTCTGAGCTTTTGCTTTCCAGCTCTCAGTTTGAGGAATGCATCCTTTGAAGTTGCAAATTGGATTGTGCTGGGCTGTCTTCGTTTGCTTTCTTGGATTTCACCGTTTTCTTGAGATAGTAATAACCTCCCGTTTTGGCTACAGACATACAATACAGATTTTCATTCCCATTTAAAGGTTAGTTCAGTTGAAGAATAAATCAGATTGCTCCAGATGCAAGTGCAAGCAGGCAGTCCATCTAGCGTCCATGCCTAGGGAAAAAAAAAAAGCAGCACCATCTTACAAGTTCACCTGATACCTGATTCACAGAGAGAAGACAACTCTACTATGCCACCTTTATTGATGTCTGGCACGTCTTTTAATGGCTCAGCCATTTTGAGCCAGTCTTATTCCGTAAAGAAAAACATAATGAAACTATATTGGATATTATGAATGTAATCAACAACGCGGTGTAATTTTGCAGTAATAACCGTGGTTGTGCTTTTTTTGTGTTGCAGCATGAGAAGAACATTGCTTGTAATTAAATTTTCTGGCTATGCTTCAGAATCGGTTGCAGTTGACCTTGCAAATTCTTTGTAATGTTTGACTGAATTTCTCTACAAAGGCAAAAAAACCCAAACAACAAACCCACCTGTTTGTCAGTCCAGGGAGTCCAAGGATGGGCCACTTTTCCTTTCATGCCTTGGTGATTTCAACAGCCTCTCAGAAGTGGATGCATGGGATCATTTTTTTTCCTGCTCATGGAGGGGAAAAAAAAAAGAAGTAGTGACTTAATCGCTTGTCTTGATGTAGAAGCAGCTTCTGTTTTAGTGGAAGTGGGAAGAGCAAAACACAGACCAGTGACCAGCTGGATGTTAGAAGTTCTGGTTTTTGAAGGAAGGGAGGAGTAGGTGGCCAGTTTTACCTCTTGCACTTGGTTTTGTTTCATTAACAAATGAACTGAATTTTTCACTCTTGTTTCTGTCTTCTTGTCCTCTCCCAGGAACACCTTTCTACCCAAGTCAGCCAGTGTATCAGTCAGCACCCATCATAGTGCCTACACAGCAGCAGCAGCCTCCACCAGCTAAAAGAGAGAAGAAAACGGTAAGTGATCACCACTAGCTGATACATCCCTTCTGAGAATTGTCCTGGTTCTAAGGATGAAGGAAATTAATAAAGATCTTAAGCTTAAAACTGAGCTTTATCTTCACACAAGAGGCTAAGTCTTACCTTTCACGCCTAAGTGTAATTAAACATCGCACAATGCTGCAATGTTTGTCTTATTTTCAATTTTCTGTGGGGACTTCCTGCTCTGAGTTCTTGACATCTCAGCCAGTCAAAAAGGAAAATATTTTTGCCAGGTTTGTAACGAACACAAATGAAAGTAGCATCGTCTCCCCAAGCCTGGGATCCTCTGCTGCCTGCGCTGCTGCTTAGAGTTTTACCAAAGAGCCAGGTGGGAATGAACAAACTCAGATCAGTTTGGGAGAATGTTGGGAATTGGTTCAAATTGACAAAAAAGAAATTGTTTAATATTATGCCTTGGAAAAGGTAGAAAACCAGTAAGTTGTGGACATATTTGCAGGCTTGAAAGAACCTGAACACATGACGTTATGAAAGTGGGTAGAGGTTTGGAGACCGTATTTCCTCTCTTCCTAATTCACTGGTGAGAATTTGAGAGAGACAGCTTAATGGAATTTAAACCCGTTTGCAGGTGGATGACGGTAGGGAATGGTAAAGGCACACCAGGTGAATGTAACGTTTAAACAGAAAAAGTTAGGGGTGGACTTGAACTTGTGAATGCATCGTTTCTAAACGATTGAAAAGGAAATTACTTTACATTACTCTCTGTGTTAGAGTGGTTTGAAAACATTAAAAGAACTGTTTCCTAGGGAAAAAAAAAAATGGGACTTGTACATGTCTCAAAATGCAGAATGTTTGTATCTTTTGGTTTTTGAAGATGATCTGAGATTACACTTGATTTGGGAAACTGGAAGAGCTGAACAATGTGTTAGCTGGGCTTGCAAGAAAGGCCTTTTTTGTAGCTCCTGTCAGCAAAGGGTGATGCAGCTCTTTTGCCACCTCTTCACCATCCTCTTCAGTCCTGAGAGTCTTTTCAGCATCCAAAACATGACATGGCCAGATCATTGATGCTATTTGAAATGCAAAGATGTTCGGAAACACTCAACTGTGGTTAAGACGGTTTCATGCCAACGAAGCTAAGTTCTTTGAAGCAGAAAAGCAGAAGCTTTTTTAAATGCCTGAGTTGTTTTTCTCTGGATGTACTATTTCAATTTTCTAATCTGTGTCGCAACTGAAGAAATGAGAGAAATTAAAGAAAAATTACATGTATATATGTACACACACCCGCATGCACCATTAGTTGAGTATTTAAGTACTACAAGCTGTCAGGCAGGGAAAGCGTGTTTTAATGCCATTGACTACTTGTCAGGAGGAGGAGAGGGCAGGAATTCGTGCCAACTCTTAAGTCCTTGTTGCTGTGGTTAATTAAATGTTTTAGCAGAAAAACTCCATCAAAAACAAGAGAAGACCACATCTTGTCAACATCCTAAGTACCATGTGTATATTCATTTGTCTTCATAACCCAAAGAGTCAAGAAGACATCACACGATACTGAAGTTGATAAATCACAAAACCCTTCTGCAGCTAACGACTTTATATGTTGCTGATTGAAAAAAGCACAGCGGTTTCCAGTGAGACCCCTGCCCTTGGAAGGATTATGTCTCTGGGTTTGCTCGCGGTTGTGCGTTGTGCTCAGCACAACGGGGACTTCTGCTTGTAATTTATGGAGCGAGTTCAGCCAAGAGTTTTTGGGAAGGTGGACAGACGAACGATAGCACTGTCTTCAGGTTTATGGAAATCTTCGATTCTTGTATTGAAGATTAAATACTCTGTTCCAACTTAACCCAGACAGCTTTACTGTTCCCCATATTCAGTGAGAAAGATTGGCTCAAGTGTCAGTTGAGGATTCAAATGAGTGTGTTCTCGAGTGGTTTATTTTGGAAAATATTCTTCCTTCCCATTTTGGGGCTGTGAAGAGACTCAAAAACGATACTTGTTTCGTAAATGCTGATGAGTTTCGTAGGACTTTAGTTTGTTCTTCTTGTGGTTTCCCTTTCCTCTGCTCAGTATTTTTTGTTTGATTCCCTCCGTTTTGTTGGTATGACTTTTCTCAATGTGGAAGGGAAAAACAAAAAGAGCTGATTTGCTTTCCCCCTTTGCCAGCAGCTGGGTTGGCAAGGTCACTGAATTTCATATCAGGGTAAAACATGGCCTTTTTTTCATTCTTGCGCTTTCCACTAACTGGCAAACGTAGTTCTGTAGCTAAACTCTCTGCTAAATTTTCTAAGTTGCAGTAAACTTATTTTCCAGAAGTAGAGACCATATTCTGAATTACAGGGTCATGCACTGCGGTGCACGTATTTAGACCTAACTGGTGTGGTTGATGAGCGTTTTGATTAAATTAGGTTTTGAGATTAAGGGATAACATACCGTGCATTTCAAGTTATCGAAACAAACCGCATCCCAGCGTTCCTGCAGAGCGTCAGCTCAACCCAGAGCATCTCCTACCAAGTGTAATGGAATTATGTCCTGTCCATGCTCTCCTCTCCATAAACCCCAAGGACAGCGTGTAACGGGAAGACTTGTTTGAATTATTTCTTTGTTCAATACCGTAGATCCGAATCCGGGATCCAAACCAGGGGGGCAAAGATATAACAGAAGAAATAATGTCTGGAGGGGGCAGCAGGAACCCAACGCCTCCCATCGTGAGACCCACTTCCACACCTACTCCACCTCAGGTAATAAAGTGGCCGCGTAGCCTTCTGCCGGTGATGTCTGCTTTGCTTTGCTGTTGGTTAGAGCCAATTCCTGTAACTTCCATCCACACCACCGATCGCTTCAGGCACCTGGATGATCCTAAATTGTCCATGTTCGTCAAGGATTTTTTTTTTTTTCCCCCCCTCCAAGTTTTGTCATTTTTACCAGCCTATAGCTTGTAAGATGTGGAGCTGCAGCGCTGCTACAAGTTCTCCATCCCTGGTTTTGTGTCAGCAGTAGATTTTAGAGCTTGTAAAGACTTTCAGTGTTAAAGGAGGAGCTGATATATTTGTGAGAAACGTGGTGTTTCCATTAGTGTCTTGTGCACATGAGGAAAGTCCGTATCATGCATGTGATTGATTATATCTCTTCCGTTGCATCACTGTCCATACTAATGTCTTTCTGCTTTAGTAGTGGTGTTTTAGAGTAACCAGAATGACTGTAGCTCAGGAATTTTATCACAGAGCTTCCAGATTTGGTCTCTGCATGTTCAACCTTAAAAATGCGTTTTTCTGACATAGGAGAAAGCGTAAATATCCCAAACTGACATTTTCCATAGCTCATAAATATCTTCAAAAATTCTTGTCGCACGTCTCTGAGTTTCTGACCCCTTCTAAGCCTCTGTATCCTGCTTCACCTGAGAAGTTCACGTGTAATGTCTGGAAATTAAACCGATTGGAAATCGAGGTCTGTTCCAGTCCTTTTTGACCAGAGTCCAAAGAGCACTCTCAGACTCGCAGACCGGCAGTCTTGACGTGAACGTAAGTCCACCATGACGTGAACCGCTGGGGCTGGAAGTGGCTGCGCTATCTAATTAGAAAACGATTTCTCTCCTCTGACCAACTCTTCCCCACCTGCAGCAGAAGAGGTGATGCCTCCTTGATCTCTGCCTAGCATCAGAGATGGAGAGGAGGCGCCTGGTAGCTCCTGCTCTCTTCCCAGCTGCCGGCTTGGTGTAGCTGTTGTTTGCTTCATACATCATCTTAGTTCTCCCTCTCTTTTGGGAGAGATGGTCCTAAGCCAGAGGCTGCTAAACTTAAAAATTTTTGGACAATTGGAGAAGAAACTCCATAGTTTGGCACAAGCCTTGGAAGTTGGCCGTATTTTATTGGAGGTTATTGTCCACTGCTCAGGGGCCTGATAAGAAGACAATAAACATCAGGAACGTTCTCCGAGTGATGGGTGGGCTCTAGATCAGAGCCTGGCTGAGGCTGGGGTGCAGCTTCTTCTTCTAAGTTCTTCCCTGTTTAATATCAGAGACTAGTTTTTGCTAGCTTTTAGGTGAAACAGCCTTTCCTGAGATGAAACCTTATTTTTCCCTCTGCATCCGGATAGTTTTTCTGCTGACTGTCCTGTGCTGAGGCAAAAGCACAAGCTTGCCTTGAGACACCCGTTGCGCTGGAGTGGGAGCTTGAGGTTACAGCTGAGCCAGTAAAAGTATAACTGGGATCACTGAGATGAAATAAGAGCCTGGCCTGCAGATGTCCCCTCCGTTGAGACCGATGGGATAGTTACGGCTTTTGGCCGTTTCCCTGATTCAGTCGAATCCTCTTGTCACATAAAGCCATCACCGTTTGCTTTGGTCACCTGCTTTCTCGTCCTGGCCTCCATTGTGGGCAAGCAGCAGCAAGGCACCATGCTCGAGCGATTCCCGGCTAGCCATGGTTTTGCAACAAGGTCTGAAATGCTCGACTGGAAAAAGCAGTTTTTCTGCCAGAGAGTGGTCTGATGATTAGCGACTACAGCTGGAAAGGGAGAAGAGCTGAGAGCTGGTTACGTATAGAATCAATTAAACTTCGTTCCGAGCGTTTTCCGTGAGAAAAGATACTAGTGATGTAAAACGTTGGAGCGTTGGTGAGATCTTCTTCCCATTACTTCATGCTAAATGACTTTCCCCGTTAGAAGTGGGGAAGAGTTGAAAACAACCAGGGTTTCAGATTGTGTTTATGCATGGTGCAGCTAATCCAGGCACTTACCGGATCATTTTTGCATTCTGAAATCTATTTTAGGATACTACAATTAAGTCAAATAGAATGAAATAAATGTTTTTCAAGAGGAGGTTAATAAGCGTGAATTTTTATCAGCTGTAATTTATATGCAGAGCACAGCAGTGATGTCCAATCATCTACTCTAAGTAAGGTATGCAAATACTTCATTGTTTAATATCCAGGCTTAGCTTTGATTAGGTACTTGGAACCACTTTTGTTAATCACAGAAGAGCTCTGAAATAGAGCTCACCAGAAAAAGTTCATTAGTGTAACATAACTGAAAATTTAAGCCCACTTAAGCCAGGAAATTCAAAGTTATTGTCCCAACAGCATCTCTAATTCATTTCTTTGGAGCAAGTGTAGTATCTTGGATGAAACTAGATGATGCCTTAATAACTATGCTCAGTGGCTGAATTCCAGTAGTGGTGGATGTTATAATTTTGAACAGTCTAAAATCAGTAAACTTTAAACACTCAGCCATAATTTTGCTTGAAACATGCTAAGGCTTTTTTGTATTCCCTTTCCCCAGTTGATAAAAGCTGTGAACAGTCAGTGTGAGCTTCATATGAAAACAGCTGCCTGTTGAAACGCTCACAATTCAGGGCAGCTCCTGGAATAGGTGCAAGGCGAGCATCGACGCTGTTGTCTTGTTCCACCGCCCTGATCCAAACGTCGGGCGGTTTGATGAGGTTTCTTCTGGTTGAACACTGAAAATGCGAACGTGCAATCTCTGGGCTTGACGAAGCATCATTTAATCAAAGCGACTCCCAGTCCAGTGATATTTTAGAAGTATGCTAAGTTCTAGTAACGCTTCTTTTGTATTGATGGCCAGTATCTGATTCTGTAATCTCATTATTTAAATGACACAAACACAGAGGGAGAAACTTGCTCAAGAAGTGCATGGAAGCCACTGCGGTAGACCAGTCCCTGTCCCAAATTCTACATTTGAAAAAGAAGCCATTTTATAATAATAATAGGTTACAAAATTTTCTTTTTTTTTTTTCCTTTAGATTTGGATTTTTTTTTAACTGACTCAAAGAAAACCCGAAACTTTGATAACACAAGCCCAAAGCACCCTCTTCTCTCAGTAGATTAAGTGCTTAACATCAAAAAAATACTGGACTTGTTCAAAAGATGAGCATTGCTGCCAAGACTCGAGCCACGTGGTTTTAGCCATTTCCATGCTTTTCGTATCTCCTGCTTTGTAGTCAGCACCGCTGACCAAAAAGTGCTTTAGGTGGAGCCTTCCCAGCAGCTCCACAGTGGTTGCTTAATTGCTAAAATGCTTTAAAGTTCCTGAATAAGAGAGGCTGGCAGTAAGTGGAGATATTATTTATAGTTTCTAGCAGGACGCTATTTTCCACACTCTGTTTTTTGCTGGGAAGATAAATGAAACCCAGGACCACACATTGAATCTGGCTACAGTATTTGCTCAGCACTGACTTACATAGAAGAACACCTTTTAAAGAGTAAGAAATGCTCTGATTTTCCTGGCAAACCTCTTCCAAGTATCGATGAGTTTGTCACATTTTGTGTTTGCTCGGTCTATGGGCCGTGGAAGTATAGAATAACACAGAGCAACTCTTTTAGCATCATAAATCATGACAGCAATTCTGAGTGGGTTTTTTTTCCTAGATTTTTTCCTAGAAAGTCCCTAAATGCTCCATTTTGAAGCTGAGAGCCTGTAAAAGCCAGTACTTAAGTACCATTTATATTGCTTTGCAATATCGTTCTCCCAAAATAAATGACCGTTTTCCAAATTTCTTAAGAAAACATGTTTACTGACCCAAGGAGTTTCTAGGCTTATGGGTTTCTTGTCCTCTAGTCTCGTTTGGTTCATGCGATTCTTATCACATTCTCCTTTTTCTCCACTGCTTTCGCCCATAAATTTTTCATAAAATGAAACCAATGATCCGTTGAGGGTGAGGGGAAAGCGTTCTTGAAACCTGCTCGTTTGTAAAACTGTGTTTTCTTCGGCTTCCTTCAGATTTGGCTGGAGGTAGGGATGCAATTCTTCATCCATAGTCCGGCCAATCTCATCAGGCTCATTCCTGGAAGGGGAGCAATCCCAGATAAAATTTCAACCCTTCACCCCGCTTACTTTATTTGTATTTTTATTTGTATTTTTCCAGACGTGCTTTTTCACAGTCCTCCTTTACCTTTCTGTTGCCTGAAATGGTGAAAAATAGCATATTGAAGATAATTCACTCTTTATTCTGCGCTGTTCAGATGCAATAGCTGAAAAAGCTGGAAATGGGAGAAAAAGAGAGTCCCAGGAAGAGGAGCAGATTGCCAGAGTGTTTCTTTTTTTAGGGAAATAAGTTTTGCATGGATTTCTGATAGTCTGTCTGAAAGAAGGAATTAGACACCCACGTCTTGGGCACTCTGCTTTATTTTGATTGTTTAAAAATCCCTTTTCCTGTAGATCTTCTGAGAAGTCAGCATGGGTGTAGAGCTAGGTAAGAACAGCCACCTGCAAAGAGCTTTGTGGCTTTCCGCTTCAGAGCATTAAATTTAAATTTAGCCCCACTTTCTTCTTTGCGTGGTCCCTGATGCACGGTTAAGGGGATTTTGCAAATGTGATTAGTTGACTTGCCCCATCTATGTTCACTCTAATGTACCAAGTGCTTTACCTGTAAATTTGATTTTGATACAGTTACTTAGAGTCTTACACAAGGTCTTCATTAGATTCCAAGGTGAGGCACAGGGACGGGGGTGTTTGTCTTTATCAAGCCTTCGTGAACACAAGTGAAGTCATTGTTTGTGCCATTAATGGTGGGAACATCGTTAAAATACAGCTATGCAACAGGCAAGGGCTTTTTCAGTCTTGTGACTTCGCTGGTCTTGCGGTTTTGGTTTTTTATATATAGAAGATCTCAGGCTCACTCCGTGTTGATTGGGAACCAGCTCCTCCTGCTCTCCTTTAGATTGATGCACAATTGGTTTTATTCTCATATTACCCAGCAGGTACCATCTGTAAGTCTGTTTGTAGAAGGCATTGGATGTTTTTTTCATACAACCGCACAGGTATAACCAATCTAGATTATTTTCCTACTGCGATAACAAGTTGCTATGTGTGTGCATAGAGATGCATATATACACTATTCATGTGTACATACACACATTATCTGTCTGTAAATAAATATATAGAAAAATAAACAAATATATATTAAAATATCTAAGGTGTTTGAAATAACTGATCAGTTGAGAAAGGAGTTGAGTCCAGAAAGCAAACTTAAATTACGGAGAGGTCCAGGAGTCTTGGTGTATCTCCGACTTTTTTGCAGACTATGCAGAGGAGCATTTCTGCTGCTCTTGGAAGAAGCATTCGGAGAACGCAGTGTGTTAATAACTGTGCTGTGCTGTCTCTTTCTTGCTGCTCTTAACAGTAATTGTCTCTTTTTCCCCTTTTCCTGCTGCCTTTTCCTCCCTCCCTTTCCCATGTACTTTTCTGTACTTTTTGAATTTATTCAATCGGTCTGTGTATCTTATATCTTTATTTACCTGCCTTTTGTTTTTCTTTTCTATCCCACCCTATTCTCGTCTCCCCACTTGCCTGCTTGTGCTCCATGTTGCTAGTTTTTATGTTCGCATGCTCATTATCACCCTTTTTTGTACTTCAAATCCCAGCAGCTGTCCAGCCAGGTCCCCGAGCACAGCCCTGTGGTTTATGGGACTGTGGAGAACACCCATCTCGCTGCCAGCACCCCTGTCACTGCGACTAGCAACCCGAAGCAAGGTTTGTTGATGGATATTTCCTCCCTGATTATTTTTAGTCTTTTTTTTTTTTCCTCCTTTCTTGTTTTAGTTTGAATATTTTTGGCATGGAGACAAGCAGTCAGGAGAAGTAGGAGGGGAGGGACTTCTTTTCCTCCAGTGGAACATTTTAACAATGTGTTGCTAAGGGAATTAATTGAAATTTGCCAAAGTGAAACCGCTTAAAAATAATTGTATTCAAGCTTATACATCCTAAACGTTGTTTCAGAGCACCTAGAAGCATGAATCTGCTCTCGCTCATGTGCCATCCTTCAGAAACAAGTGTGTTGTCTGTAAAATGCTCTTAGACAGAGAGACTTTATATCATTTGGACAGATAGCCATAGCGATGGCACGTAACCGGAGCATCATACGGCTCCTCCAGAGCTGCTTGTGTATCCTCGCCTACAGGACATGGGCGATTTTAATTAGAAAAAAAAATGGTAGCGTGCAAAGTATCTCATAACAAATTTTGCTGACTTTAGTAAAAATGGCACAGATGGAAGAAGTTTCTTAAAGTGATTACATTTCCTTCTCGTATCTAAGAATATACATTTGAAGGGAGATTTTTTAAAAGTGTTTAAAAAAAAGGTGTCCCGGAAGGAAGACGGAACGTGCCAAGTCTCTTCCCACACTGAAATTTTATAGCCACCTAAAAGCCATTAAAAAGCAGTAGTTAATAATGTGTATGCTGCCATCATGTTAGCGGACTTGGTGTCGGAATACAGAGTTGACACCGCTGTTTGCTTTCCATTTATTCGCTGCATTGCAGCGTTTGAGGTTTCTGCCTAGAGCCATGTGTGCATGAAAGTCGAGAAGTGCCATCTTTCACTCGTGAGCGTTGCCTGTAAACCTTGAGCCTGCTGAGATTTTTTTTTTTTAGAGTATTTGCTAGAGGAAAACTAAGCCCCAGAGGAGCACAGCTCTAGAAAAGGGGAAAAAAAGCTGCCTATGATGCTACAGATGTCAGATCCAAACAGGAGTACGCTTGCAGCTCGAGAGTAAAGGGACGTATCCCTGAGGCTAATTTGTATCAGATTCTAAAATTTACTGAAAATGTTGCTCTTTTACAGCCATAGCGTAGACTTCAGGGTTTTCCCTCAGTGAAAGCTGTTCCATGGATACATCTGTAGACTGCTGCAGTGTGTAGAAATGGTTGAAAAGGGACCTTTTGGAGATCGTCTGGTCCCATCTCCCACTTGAAGTGGGACTATGGCTTTGTCTAGATCTTTGTGCAAAACTTAGACCTCTCTGTCACCTGAAAAAGTTGTGGGTAGGTTTAACACCCATCCAATCGACTGTGATTGCGCTGGCCGAACACAGCTCGCAGGCTTGCTGCCCTGCGTTGCTGCTCAGCTCTGGCACAGCCACTCTTCCCGGTCCGCGTCCGTGTCCCTTCTCTGCCAACATGCCCAAGTCCCGCTCGCTGCCAGGGACATCCTCTGAGCGCACCAAGGTCCGTGGTGGCCCTGGGACTTGGACAACTGATGACCGCGATGCAAGCACCAAAACGCATCTGCCCTTTTGAACAAGTTGGTGCTGAACCATAAAATCCAGCACTTTACATCTCAGCATTTCAACCCTGGGTATGAAAACTTGTGTTTCCAGGACAAGCGGGTCTTCTGCCTCTTCTCTCTCTCTCTTTAACTTAATCCCTTCGTAGGCAACTGTAAGTAAACTGGAAGTAAGCGGTCTTTATTTAGTTAGTTGCACAGGTCTGACTGTGCTGGTTTAAATATAAATCAGGCTTGAACTGGGATTTAACACTGATGAGCTTTCCTGTGTTTATCTCCGTTCCATCCCAGAAGGATTCAAACATTTGTTCCAGTCCAAAAATTGCTAAAGAGCACATTTATGTAAGCATTGCAGAGAAAGAGCGAGCCCTGAAATAACACCATTAGCATTCGACTGTGGCCTCGGGGTGGGGGACAGCAGCGGTGGTGTCAGTCACAGGACAGAGCGAATAAAAGGTGAAGGAAGTTTAGGCACCATTAAAATTATTTATTTAAACCGAGCTAGTGACTTGAGGGGGCACATCTTTCCAGAAATACATGCCAAGGTATCAAAATCTTTTTTCACTTTGTGCCTGATGTTGGTTTTTCTTGTTCCAAAATAAAAATAGTCATAGATAGGGTTGCATGGCTTGCTTAAGCAAGTGTTTATTAAAGCCAGTATTGTTGCTTCCCTTAAGACCCCTCCGCCGTGTTCATCCTGTGGATCGGATTCTCCCTTGTGCCTTTCACCTTGTGCGCTCGTTTGCATCAGTTGAAATTTAGTGTAAAGCTATCGTTCTAATTTTGTGATATTCGGCGATCATTTTGCAGTTATTTATAACTGCCCGCAGCATTTGGCCCGTTCGCTGGGCTGGGGATCGGGAACGGAGCACGTGTGCTGTGCCAGCAGACCCGGCCTCTGTTATTTCTCCCTGCGAGTATCTGCAGTCCCTGTTATTCTTGCGTTGAAGTCGTTAGTGAGGCTGAATTTGGGATTGCGTTGTATTTAATATCCTTGTTTTTTCTTTAAAAGACAAACATTTGGTATTTGCTGCTTTTAAAGCAGCTTCTGGCTTTTCAGGCTTCAAAATTCATATATGACTTGGAGGAATATGGGAATTGCTACCTTGAAAAGTGGCGTTATTTAGGGGCAAGCAGTTAGCTGTCGTTCCTGTCGGTGCCCCTGGTGCATATATATCAGCAGGGCTGCAGAAGGTGAGGATATCGCTGGAGAATTTAGGTCAAGCTGATAGCAGAGCGTGCAGGAGCCTGGCTGCAGGCCAGGCTGGTGCAGAAGTTGTAACGGGGTATAATTGTGCATGAAATCAGAGCTGTCCGCGTTTACTCTGCTTGCACAGGTTCAGTGGGATGTTTGGAGTATTATTATTATTTTAAACCTCTTTCCAAATCCTGCAATGTATCAGAAACGGAGAATGTATACCAGGGTTTGTGGAAAAGAGATTAATGTCAGATCCCGAAGTTTGGAAAACTTTCAGCCCCTCTGCTGACCGTATGACTCAGTAACGTGTGCTCCAAAAACTGCCTGCGAAGCCAGCATCGGCACCGCCTCGCGAATGTTTGCATCGGGACAAAAGATGGAAAAATGGCAGCAAGCCCAGCGATTATTTTCAGATAAACACCGCGAAGCAGAAATGGATTCCCGTATCCAGTAAAATCTTCCCCATGCACAGCTCTGGGCAGTCTTTGCCACCGCGACCACCCAGCAACCCAGCTCCCTCTCTGGCTTTAATGTCTTTGCGTGGAGGAGATAGCAAGCGTTCGTCCTGCTGAGTTTGTAAAAGTATTTCTAATGAAGAGTAATTTTGCAAGATTTGTATTTATCTGGAGATTTTAAAAAATATCTATTGATGGAGCAAGCTTTTATCCTGAACAGCCTAGCGCTTCCAGTAAATACTTTCTAAATATAATGTGAGGAATGATCTTGGCAGCTTAGGAAAAGGGATCTGATTCAGTTTGGATGAATTGCATTGATTTTTGTTTTCCCTTCCCAACTGTATGTTGTTTCACGTGACCGTTTCTGTAATAGTTGGCAAGGAGGAATGTTCCTTTGCCGGGACTTTGAGATTTGTTCTCTGTGACGGTCGGTCAAGTTAAGATGTACTTCTCATTAGCCAAATCTGCTCATCGTTCTTCTGAAATTCCCTCTCCTCAAATTACTTTTCTCCTTGAATTTTGCACACACAGCCTGTATCAGTGGCTAACGTATTCCCCAAATAAGGTGTAGTTAGAAGAAAGTGTGTTTAAACCACTGGTTTTAAAATGCAGTTGTATATTTTTGCTGTGTTTTTTATCTCTCAGAATGTTTTTTAGACATTTCAAATGCCTTTTTTTTTTTTTTTTTTGAGCAATCTCATTTGACTCAAGGGAGAGAATATCCAGGCAGTTGTTTATAGCGAGCTGTAAATGTCAAGAATGCTCCATGAGTTGTCTGCAAAGGATGTTCCAGAAATCGGAGGTGACGCATTTTCTTTTCTAAACCAGTTCCCAGGTCCTTTTTCTTCCATGGAGCCTTCAGAATCAAAATCAGCTGTTGGGATACTTTCTCCCATCTTTTTTCCTCATTTGTCATCCTCATCCAAAGCCGACTCCCTACGTCCCTCATTAAGTTGATAAACTACTGCTTTGGCTGTGATCCTCGCTGTAACGCAGATGGGGCTGTGGACGGCTGGAAGCAAAGTTCTTCATAGCTCCAGCTATTCCTAAAGATGGGACTTGATGCTCCAAGCGGTTTCAGCTGGGTTCTCCTTCAAAACCCCTTTCCCTTCCGCCTGGCTGTTGAATAAGCCCCAAATGGAAAGCCAGCAGAGCTGGGAAAGACCAAGCAAAGCCGTACCTCCTCAGTTCTACCTGAGTTTTGATGATTTGAGGTTGGTTGTGGCCTTCGATTTCCTAACCTGAACAGCAGCGTTTGTGCCTCTGGCTTTTCCAGAATTACTTTTTGCTGTCGTGGCAGTGTCCCGAAGGAGTTCCCTGTTGCTTCAGTGCTCAGAAAGCCTTGGGGCATTTTGCATTTGTGGAGCGGAGCAGAGCTCCCTCCCCGAGGACAGATAAAGCTGCTCTCCTCATAACGATGATTAGGAACTGGACCGCTGAATCCCCGCCGTCTGTATGATTGACTTTGAGTGATACCTGTCTCATCCGACTTGCAGAGTTGCAGCACAGAGGCGCTTTCCTAAGCAAGATCTTACAGTCTACGTCTTGTCGTCAAATCGGAGGTGGGAGAGGGTCTTTTAGGATCTTGGCTCATATTTTGTTCAAACCAAGTGGGAATAAGTGCGTTAAACGGAGTTGCAGCAGACCTTTGGGAGCTGCGTGATGGTCATGGCAGGATGGTATTACAAAGTCTGTTGCTAATCACGGGATAAGTACAGGGACTTCTCTGCACACAGTAGTTTGGGGTTTGGTTTGATACATGTGCGTATTTCACCGTGCTTTTCCCACCCTGCTCAATACCCTTAGCCCACAAACGTCAAGAGGTAATGATGCTGTTCTTTGGTGGCAGCTGCGCTTAAATCCCTTTTGGGTTTCCTTTCTTCGGGAAAAGGTATCTTTGCTGAAATTTAGAACAAAAAAAAGGGGGATTGTGTCCTTTAGTCTGATGTGCTGAAGAGTGATGGAGTTGAGAAATAACAAGTGGAAAAATAAACTAGGTGCATCTCGCATCTTAGTAACGGCATGACACATGGCATATGTAAAAGGACGGCCCGTCATCAGTCGTGGAGTAGTTTCCCTGTTTTACAAAGAGGGGGAACAGTGGCAGAGACTGGCTGAGGTTGCCGGTGCCTGTTACAACCCCAGGCTCTTCTATTTTCAGCAGCAGATAATGCAAAAAATCCACATTTTATAACATACTTACGTACTTTTTCTGTAAAGGACTGCCGTTCACTGCAAAGCCTACATTCAGAAAAATAGAAGCGGCAGTTATGTTTTTAGATTTGCCAGCTGCAGGTTGTCTGGACTTTTCCTTTAGATGCCACGGTTAGCTTCAGGTGCCTCTGGTGTCTTCCTCAGAGCTTCTTGAACAGCGGGCAGGATACAGATAAGGGGAACCAAGGGAAGGAGCCTTAGGTAGATCTAGTGAAGGAAAATGGAATTGGCTTGCTGTTTGTAACATTGCCTTTTTTTTTTCCTTTCCCAGAAGAGAAGCCAAAACCAGATCCAGTATTAAAACCACCTTCTCCAGTCCTCAGACCAGAACCTACTGGGGAGAAAAAAGATCAAGCTGGCCAGACGACCGAGGCCACCTCAGTGGAAACCCCACCAGAACTTCCTCTTGCTCCATCACCAACCCCGGCTGCTCCCGTCGCAGTTGTTGCTGCTGCTGCTGCTGTTGCCGTTTCTAGTAAATCCACATTCACAGCTGACTCAGAGGAGAAATGTGAACTGGCTTCCCCAAAAGAGGAGGCAATGCCTATATCTAATGCCGCACCCTGCACGGACACATCAGACCCTTCGCCAGCGGAAGAGGCTGATGCCGAGGTGTGCAAGGAGCCTAGTAGTGTAGCATCTAGTGATATTCCAGTGACTGCTAGTACTAATCTAATTAATGAAATGAACGGAGTTAGTGAAAAAGTAACTGCTGCAGAGACCGTAGTAGATGTAGCCCAGACGGAAGTTGCGCCATTGACTGTTGAGTTGGAGACACCAGAAGCACCTCCAGCAGAAGTGGAAAGCGTGCCATCTTCCAGTGCTCTTCACGCTGCTCCTTCTCCTCCTCCCACCCCACCTCACACCACTCCACCTCCTTCTCCTCCTATTTCTGTTGCTGCTGCTGCTGTTACCACTACAACTCCTTCTCCACCTCCTCTTCCATCTCCTAGTGCCCTCCCTGTTGTTCAGGGAGATTTAGAAGGAGAGGAGAGCACAAGAACTACTCTTAATGAAGAGGTAAAAGATACTGAAAAGAAGGAAGAGACAGAAGCAGATGGGCAACTGGAGGAGAGCACGGAGGCTCAGAGTTTAAACTCGAGCAAGAGTCCTGTCCCAGGTAAGCATTTGGCACCGTGGTTGTGTGCGGTAAACTGGAGGATGAAGGAAAAGGGTCTTCGGGGTGGTTCTTCCATCAGGTGTTTCCGTTTCTATCTGCCAAAAAAAAAAAAAATCTGGTTGTGCTGCATGACCGTTGTTGTGATTGCGAAATGCTAATCTTTGTTTGCAGGGACAAAAAAAACCCCTGTAATTGTTCATAAAAGAGGTAGCCGACTCGGGTGTGCGTCCCAGGGTTGGCTGGGTTCATGTAAGCTGCCAGCATTTTGCTTTCACGGTGATACAGGGCAGCACTCCCGAGTGCTGTTAACGGGGGAATTCAAAGGACGCTGCTCTTGTTCTCTCTGAGATGACCGGTCGGTTTGAGGACCTGCTGCTCTGGATTTATCAGTCTGCACCTAAACCAGATTAACATTCAGACCGTGAAGCCCTCTGGGTGAACCTTCTGAGCCAGCGGTTTCTGGAAACCGGTGGGCTGGGGTTTTTTCCAACTATAAAAAAATGTGTCATGGTGTTACCAGATGTGGGTAAATGAAGTGGACCATTACAGCTCTTCCAACTGACAGAAGCACCGAGTGTCACAAACACCTCGATCTGCCCAGCCTTAATTAATGATGCATCTGGCTTTCCTCTGCAAAAGCAATACGTAAGCGAAATTTCCCCTTCTCCTCGCTCGGCTCGGCTGTTCTCATTTCACTGTTCTTGAAATTTTCAGGAAACAAGGCGCTTTAGTTCGGGAGGCATAAGGACTTGTTACAAATTACTGAAAATTGAGATTTCTGTAGCTGCGTTTTAAAATCCAGGCTATTTCTCTGAGTGTTGTTATCTGCCTTTGGTTTTGGTGTCCTATCACATCGCTGGTTTAGCGTTTAATGAATTAATATAGACCATTGTCTTTTTATTTGCTGTGTTTTCTATAGAAAACTGCTTTTTTTCAGGACTTCCTGGAAATGAAACTGTGAAAAGAAGTTCAATCAATCTATTACTTGTGTTTAGCTGCTGGGGGGAGTATAATGGTGGCTATTATGCACGCCTAGCAGTGTTAAAGCATTTAAATGTGTCGCATCTTTTATACCCTGTTTTGCAGTCCTTTCAGAGCTGTGAAGCTGAGGTTGTTTGTTTAAATATATCCTTTGAATTTGGTGAAGTTTGGACAAGAAACAAAGGAGAAACAGTAGGCTGTGATTTGTTTGGGTTTTGGTTTGTTTTTTTTTTTTTGAAAGTAACATTTAAAATAGGGTTTTTTTCATTTATTCTTTCATAAGCAAGCAATAGATGTATAATGGCATCAGTAGCATCTAGGGCTACGCTCTGCTATGGATTAAATTAAAGGAAAAGCCGAGGTTGGCCTTGTTCCATATTTGTGTAATGCTGCGCTAGGCCAATATGCTGGATCTTAAATAAAATCCAATATCTAGAGAAGATCAGAAAGATCCCTTCACTATACCAGCCATAGGGGTTTTTTTTCTGTTAATCTTTTTCTATTTTTATTTTACTTGGGTCATTTCACTGCTCTGGCACTTGTTGTTCTTTCAATCTGATCTACTTTGTAACACAAATTAATTTCCTTACAAAGTAGAGAAATGGGACTCTTTCTGTAAATAAGGTTTTACACAGCCAGGTTCCAGCTTGCAATATTATTGCTTGCTTTGTAATGTCCTGTAGTTTAAATTAAAAAAAAAATTACTTACAGCGTTTTGGGCTTTTAATTATGCAGAAGATTAATTTTAATGCTCTAATGTCATTAGGCTAGACAGCACACATTAGCCAATACGTTGGCTTTGGCAACAGAGAAACAAGTATTTCTCAAGTCACGTAAAAGATCACTTGAAACTCTGATTACTATTAAAAGCTCAAGGAAAAGCAAAATACTCTCCAAGTCAGTTTTTTGTGCTTTACCCCTTCTTTAATGATGTTTAACTGTATCACATCTCTCTGCCAACCAACCTTTTTTTTTTAGCAATAATTTTCCAGTTCTTCCTTGGAGAGAGGAAGAGAGATTTAAAAAAGGTAATCTGAAGGTGACTGCTAATTCAGGTCGTCTAGGCTGAACGAGGAATTGCGTGTCTCTGCCATACGCTGGAAAATACAGATGCTGAACTTCAGGAGCAAGGAGAAAGGCTGTATTATTGTATTTTTTTCTTGGACTAAAGGCCAAGAGTCTTTTTTTATGATCTCTGGAGATACGATAGAAATTGGGATAAGGGAAACTTCTCAAACACGTGGTGGTAAGCGTGAGCTCTGTGACTTTTAACAATATTTCTTTGGGGTTTTCAGCAGAAGTGTGTACTTATTGCAGAGCAGTTTGGTTGGCCACAAATCATGCCGCTCTATTCCCTTTAATGGTAGCTGATCTGATTTGACTGGGAGACCACTCAGACCCAAGACCCCTAAGAATAATCTAATTGCTGCAGCACTTATTCCCGAATGTCCTTTTCACAGTTATAATCTGGCCTGCCTAAAAATGGGGGGGTTTCTGAATGGGACGTTAACCCACCTCCTCCCTGACGTCGCAGGGCAGTACTGTTGAGACTTGGAGGTGTATCCCATATTTTGCGATGGAGGTGACAGCTTTTCAGGGATGAATGAAATTATTCGTTTGTTCCTCAAGCACTTTACAGAATACACCTTCTACCTAACAGTCAGAGAAACAATACTTTTATTTTTTGCTCCATCAAACTCTGTATAGAGAGAGAAACAAATATGTTCAGACCGCAGAGGCTTTCCCTTAAACATCTTTATTCTCCAGCACTTCTTTTTACAGCTCAAGAAAATGAGTTTTTCAGTGTTTGCAGGAGGAGACCGGAGCCGAGCAGAGCTGACCCTTTGGGATCCAGGGGAACCTCTACTCTTTCTTTTCCACTGGCATTAGGTCTCCTTCAGATTTCCAAGGTCAGAGGATGTCTACAGGAGCACCTGTGTGGTATTCTTATTTTGCAGAAATTGGAGCATGCTTGGTTTTCCTTTTTTATTTTACACTATTCTATCTACTCTTAACGTCTTAAGTTGTATTAGCCTGCATAATGAAGATAGCCATTTTAGTGGTTCAGTCTGTGTCTGATAGTAGCTGGTTCATCTGAGGCCTGCTCATCAGCATTGCTGGTCTTGCTTGTAATCCCCTACAAAATGGGGAAGATTGGGTGGGTTTCAGAGCATTAAACCACTGAGAACTGCAGTTTTTTATCCTGCAAGCAGGATGTTGTACCTGGGTGTAGGTTCTTGCTGCTGACCGTGTTTCAGTTCTGAGTATTCGCCAAAATATGAGGTTAAAGGAGACGCGTTCACCCTATTGCCAGTCTGCAGGCAGCAGATCTCGTTCCTGCCTGCTCAGGAACGATTATCTTGAGGTTTTCAGGATGGGCAAAGCTGTTATCTGCAAAGGGCAAGAGCATGCAGCTTTTAAAATAATTAATTCCTACTCATCTTCATTACAAGGAAAAAAAATACTGATATTATCAAGAGAGGAACTCGGCGCTCAGCCTGCGATCCTTACTAAAAACATTGCTCCAGTCATCAACGACACGCCATTGCTTTTGTTATTAAATTCCGGTTTTTCTCTAGTAGCTTTGCCGGCTGCGGTGAGGGACCAGCACTTCTTGGGGAACAAAACAAGACAAATTTTGTTGGTGGAGTGGAATTTCTAAAGGCGGCGGCACTACCAGAGACTTGAAGCCTTTAGGACATGCTCTGAATGCCCGCCTTTGATGTAATCTTTCTATCATGGCTATTAGGAGAAGCAAAGAGGAAAATAAGAGATTGATGTCTGTCCCAGGCAGAACTCCTAGGAACACAGGAAGCCAAAAGAGCTTAATACGCGTTGAATTCAAAGGGCTGTTTCTTGCAGAGCTAATTTATGAGACGTATTTCAATATAAAGTAGCCCAGCTGACTGCGGGTCCCTGGGTTTCTGAGCTGTGGAGGCTGTAACAAGCAACTTGGGGCAGTAATTGGAAATATCTTGGAGAAATATCTCCAGCACCCAAAGCCGGAGAGCCGGAAACATAAATCAGGTATCGCCTTTTTCTTGATTTGCTGCCATAGCCCAGTGGAATATATTTTCTTTCCCATGAGCCGTGAGGCAATAGTGAGTCTTTGCTTTGGTTTTTAATGGCACATTGGCTAAAAAATAAAAACATAAGAGCTGGTATTAATTTATGCTTAGCAGTTGGCACCCACATCAGAGAGGAGACTGCTTTCTCTGTCTCGCTTGGTGGGTTGTGGACTTGCTGGGGTGGGTATCTCCTGCAGAAAGAAGTTCCACTGAAGAACATGATGTAGCTGGAGAAATGGGTTGAGGCAGCACAGGGTCTGCTGAGCAGATTTCTCCAGAGATGATGTTACGACTTGTAGTGATGTCCAGGATAGCCTGGAAATCAGGATTTTGTTACTCTTTCCAGTCCTAATGTAGATCGGTATTGTCACTCCTGTTATCTCTTATTTTTGTAAGCAGCGATAAACAAAGAGCTCACAGTGCTGGTTAGGCAGCAGTACGCTGGGTCTGCCGGTGTCCCTTCTCCAACGGAAAGAAATTACCACCTAACATGTCGAAGCGGGCTGAAAACAAGCTCTGGAGATGTGTGAATGCTGGCAAAAATGAACCTGCATTTGAGCAGGAATTCAGTTATTGGTGTGCACGTGAAGATGCTTAACTTGGAGGACAGGAAAATTGAGAGAAAGACCAGAAGTGTCTGGAGACCTCCCTTGCCAAGAGCCAAACTAGACACATGACACTTTTGTTTCCCTACGGCTTGAGTGCCTCGCAGCTGAAACTCCATTTTCAGATGGTACCAGATAGCACCGTTGTCCTGGTTGGGTTTGGGGTTTGGTAGGGCTGGCACCTAAACTCACTTTAATTTTCTAAGCATACATTAGCATAAATTCTCCTATTGAGTCAGTTCCTGTAGCAGAAATGAGAACTCAACAGAACAAAATCTGATGTCTGCTATTTTAAGAGGGGAAAAATTGAGCAACGTCTCTGGAGATCTCACCGGCATACCCCATGAAATAGGGTTGGGTGTTAATAGGAGTTACAGGCTGCAAAACTACAGGGCTAAGCAAAGGCTGCTGCCCTGTCTTGGGATTAAAGGCAAGCGTCCGGCCAAGCATCCTCGTGCAGGGAAGCCCCAAAGCAGGAAAAGGATCTGCACGATTAAAACAAGGCAAAAGCTGCGAGACTCGTTCAGGGTCCTCAGCAGGATCACATCCTTTATATAGCTTTCTTTTGCCAAAAAAGGTGAAAAAAAAGTATCATTGAGAAGGAATAATGTTAACATCCTGACAGTTGAGGAAGAAAACACCCCAAATCTTTGCCAACCCTAAATCCATTACCCTGAGTTTATTTCTGTGCATTTAAAAATGAAACGTTATTTTACACTGTGGGTGTTTTCCATAGCGTAGTTTGAGCTTGCGTGGAGTGAAATTCTGTCAAATTAAAACCTTGGGGTTAATCAGTTAAATTACTTGGCTATGGCAGTCATTACCGTGCAGCCGTGACCCCCTCCTTGAAGAAATCCCCCAAAAGTGTGGAAGTGGCATCACCAAACAAGAAGGCATCGTATCATGGCAGTGGGGCTTGATGTCCAGCCTTAAAACAGCGGGTTGACTTTTGAAAAGCACTAAATTTTCACTGAATTTTAGCAGATTCATGGTGGAGGGAACTGTGGAGCCTCGCTTAGGTCCACGCTTTGCTAAATCACAGAAATTACCACCTGCATGGACACCTGGTCCTTACCCAACCCCGATTTCACCCCAAGATGGTGAGAATAACTCGACTATTCTTGCGAGGGTACAGTGAACTAGCAGTAATAAAAGCTAATCCCCGGTTGCATAAGGCAAAGCCATTTTGCAATCCGTACCTGCTTGGCCATTTCTCGACTCTCCCTTGAGCCCCAGGAAATTCAGGGTTACTGCTGGGGCTCTGCCCTGCTCTCAAAGCTGAAAGTTTCTCCGTAGGGTGATGCGATGGATGGGACGTGCGGGACTCGGAGTTTGGGAGACCCGGATGATTTTTCCAGCTCCTCCATGAACCATCAGTTCTGAGAACGACCAGATGATGTTCGAATATTTGAATTAGACTTCTTTTTTTCTTTTTTTTTTTTTGTTATTAACCTTTGCTTTTGTGGTGTTTAGCGTGAAGATAAAAATCTTTTATCAGCGACGATAGCTCCTGTTGCGCTTTGGGCTGGGGCCAGCGCGCTGACCGTAGTGGTTTCCGCAGCTCGCAGTGTTCCTGCAAGTCCATAGTCGCCCTCCAAACAGGGGAACGCTGTTAAGAAGCCGCTGAGGCTCGTACGTATCTTTTGGGGCAGTGGGAACGTAGCAAACCCGGTTTCCTCTTTGCCCATAGGAACAAAGTAGGCCATTGTTAACACTCTTTTCATTTATCCGTACTTGAAGAGCCTTTCAAAATTGTATTTTATTGTGATAAAATAAGTGCACGCTGTGTTTTTCCACAGTATCTGCTAGAAACCAAAGGCGCGAGCTGGAAATCTGTTTGCAGTAAACTTCAATCACGAAATCAATTCTGTTTACGCTCTGTGTTAAATATGCATGTGTGCCTAGTATCAGAATTTAAGCTGGTAACACTTGCAACAAATTATGAGCATATTGGATTAATGGTTTTGTCTCCTCCTAATATATTGTGTGGTTTCTTTTACCCTTTGTGGGGGAAAAAAGTGATTAGAGTAAATCACTGCTGATCCTAGAAATATTATATGGTATTTTCTTTGAATCAGTTGGCCAGGGAAATTAATGAATGGTAGAGTTGTTAACTTGCTTTTAAATTGAAATACAAATCCAGCTCAGGAGAGCCGGTAGTGCTGCAAGGTTGAAGGAGTTGTCCTTTTGGATGAGATACTGGAATTTTTGGCCTGTTTATGGTTATGGTCCAGCTAATTAATTCTTATAATATTCCTTGAGAAAAATATGTTGAGAACAACCTTCACTCCTAGCCAATACTTGATATTTCAAAAAAAATGCGGTTTCTGAAGGTTTGCTTTTGCCCTGCATGATCCTTATACTGTTGGTAATAAACTCCTTGCTATCACAAGTACTATTTCGAGCTTGAATGAGGAACTTGTAAAACAATTACCTTGTTTTAATGTCACACTAACGATTGTGTTATTACCACATTGAAACAAAAAGTGGTTATATCAAGCTGAATTCTCCGCAAGGCAGCGACTGCTTCATTTTCCTGTATGTAAAACCGGCATGCGAGAGGGAAGCGCATCACCCACAGCCAAATTTGCTCCATATAATTTAGTGTTGTAATAGATGTACGCTTATATTGCAGCCCAAACAGCTGTAACTGCACCAAAGACGTGGAAGAAACCAAAAGACCGGACCCAAGCCACTGAGGAGGTGATAGAGGCAGAAACAGAGGTAAGAGGGAATCACAGTCTTGCTTTGTCTAAATTTAATGATGATGTTGCTCTCTTTAAACTGTATTTTAGACGTGTTGCTTCCTAGTTGTCTCGCAAGGATCCAGGGCAGACTGTTTTTTGGGGGGGAACTGTGATATTCCCCAGCATTTTAGTCTGTTCCCTGTGAAGCTCTTCAGTTTTCTTCCTTCTCGCCTAATTTAACGACTCCCAACATTCAAGAACATATAACTGCTCTCCTTCCAGTGAAGGATGAGATAAAAGTGGGCTTGAATCCCTTAGCACTGCCCCATGTTGGGTCCCCAAGGCCACTATGGTGACATTTGGCAGGTTCTTCTGCTGCACAGTGATGTCATTGTGATGTCACGGCTGAAGGTTAGTTTTCCTGATGACCACCTGATGGAGAAGCTGTGAAAGGCAAACGTTGAAGTTTTCAGGCAAAACCACCTCGACAGTAATTAGATGAGTAACGAAAATCTCCCTTGCTGCCGTTCTGGTAGGGATATTGCAGGAGGAACCTCTTTGTTTAAGATTCTGGGTAAAATTGAGGTTAGAATAGGTCACAGAGGGGTTAAGAGAGTAAAAATGTAAAAATTCAGACTGCCCTGTGCTTATATAGAAACTGATGTCGGCTATGTGACGCAGAGAAGCATTGCTTCTTCGCTCCAGATTTTTCTTCAGTTATTATTCATCTGCTATTTCCTCCACAACTTCCCCTTACCACAAACATCGTTGAACCTTTCCGTTCTAAAAGCGTGTTGTTGCAGAGTAAATCTTGAGTCTAGTGGACGGTGCTTTGTGTCAGCAAGCGTTTGCAGCAGATAGGCTCATTTACGCGTTATGGATGGTATATAAGTGCTTTCCCCTCTGTTTCTGGGGGAATAGATGCTTAAAATGCTCACGTGCAAGGTGTCACGCTGCGACAGCTGGTCTGTGCGCAACGGAAAAGCTGATGATTGGGTAATCCAAGGAAATTAAAAGCATCCCTGTGCTCGTTTTCAAGCCAGAAAGCGAAGAATGTCGCTGGGCTGCGTGAGCAAGTTTACACTCTGTACGCTTTCTTTGTCATTTATTGGATCTTGTCTCCTGGACCACTTGGTGTTTTCACCAATGCTAATTTTTCAGAGTATTCCCTTGAAAAATCTGCAAAAAGCATTTTTAGGAGGCAGTGCCCTCAGGTAGGGAGGCGAAAGGACCATCCTCAATTCAAGTCTTTCCTTTGTTTAATGCTGAGACGTGTTGGGGTTTCTCCCAGGAGAAGCGCGTTCCTAACGCCTCCTCTGTCTGAATGCAGAACAAGGCTGTGTCCTTGGAGAGCTCTAAGATTAGCAGCAGGGATACTATTAATGCTTTTTCCTTAAACCGAGATGCTGAAGTTTTGGCTGTATGTCACATTACCTTCTTAATTGGGATCTGCTCCAATTAGCAGCATACATTTAAAGGAAGGATCCCCCCCAAAACGAGCGCGGCGTGCCCTTTAAGGTGGCTGGTGAGCTGCAGGAGAGGAGAAAAGCGAGGTTGTCTTTCCAGGCTGGGATTGCTCATGGCCGTCGCGCTGCAGGGCTTAACAGTTCCTTCCATCCGATCCCAGTAGCTCCTGGGGATTTCACGGGCAACGCCAAGTCTTTCCATTTGCACTGTTAATTATCGGTGCGTTATCTCCGGGAATGAACTGATAAATCATCCGGTTGTTCTGTGTGTTGTTCCATATCGCTGTTTAAGATGCATATGTATTCCTGCTATGCACAAAAATGCTGTATGAATAAATGAAGAGCCGTTTTGCATGCTTCGAATTTTGGCAGGGTGTTTTTAACATAACCTCTGTTTCCATCTGTGCTTCAGCCTAAAGTAGAAGAGGAACTTTCAGGTGACAAAGTACTTGAATCTGAACAGGAGAAAATGAGCCACGGGTTTCAACTGGAGAGAGACCCCTCTGAACTCAAAAAAGCGAAACCTGTGGAAGAAAACGGAGAGCAGGAAGCAGAACCTGTGCGAAACGGTGCCGAGAGCGTTTCAGAGGGAGAGGGAACTGATGCAAACTCAGGCTTCACAGAGAGCTCCAGCGAAGGGCCAGTGTACCAGTATAAACCAGGTAAATCCTGTTTCAGACTCTTGTATGCTTGCTTGGGTTTCTGCCTCTCTCCTTGAAGGGCTGCTAACGCCCCGTGCATCCTCCCCGTGGAAGGATGTTTCCAATGGGGCTGGAAGGGGGTACAGCGTTCCACCGTGTCTGGCTCCACCGGCATCCACTAACCAACAGGCTCAGAGACACCGTTTGGGGGAGCACGAGAGGAAAATTGGTTTTCTCTTGCTGGTGGTAATGAAGAGAAGAGAAAAGCCCCGATTCCTTGAATTTATTGCATGTGTGGATGTTGGCTGCAGCAGAGTGGAAATGGCGGCGAATTGGTTCCCGTGTGATCGACAGCTGAGAACGATCCAAGAAATCCCATATAAGCGGACATGCTTCTTAAATAAGAGATTTGAAAGTTCTGATTGGCTACTAAATACAAGTATGTGTGTTTATATAGATTTAATTTCCTGGCTAAACAGTTGCGTAGATCTTCAGATTTCTAGAAGAGTAAGGAAAAGAAAAGAAACAGTATGTGGTTTTCAATCCAGGCTCTGCTATTGAACTGTGAGCATGCGGTTCTTTTGATAAAATAAATCAAGTGTGGGCTCACAGAATGCAGTCTTTTCGTTGCTGGTTAGCGCTGGATATAGTCTACCTAAGGGGTGTTTTTGTTATTTTGTAAGGTATTTAATTTGTAGACTTGAACCTCTATTAATCCACCTCATTAAGAGAGACCTTGAGACTGACTGACTTCTCGGTTGCTACCAATTTCTAAGCCATTTCTTATTCAGGTGAAGCTCCCTTAAAACAAATTAGTCATTTTCTTAAGAGCTCAGAAATCAGAGAGTATAAAACAAAATAAGGAGGGACCACAAGAGCCTGGACAAGGTATCAGGAAGGAGCACCACCGTTAAGTGATTACACTGCAGTTGTTATTTCAACGCTGCTTTGCTCCGACAAAGACCTGAGTTGCTTTTTTTTTTATTAATTTGGTAGTATCGTATCATTAGGAGGAAACGTAGAGGCCTCTTGATAGTTTACCACACACTTACGATAGCTTACCAGTTCATTAGGTAAGCACATCTTGAAGTTAATCCATAATTCATCAGCTGTCTCTCCGAAACACTCCATGCAGTCAGAATGATCCTGGTCGGATCCTCACGTCCTTTCGCTCACCTGAAGGGGTTGGATCGATCCCTTGGAAAGCAAGGCACATCGGACTTGTCTGCTGCAAAGCAGACCTGGCCACTTGGTGCAATAATCCTCGATTTCAGCTCTGCTCTTTCTAAAAAGGGGGATTTTTGGTCGACCATAGGAGGAATTGTCTGTTATCTCCCAGTCTCCCCCCTCACTGGGGATCCAGAAAGCCTGCCGGTGACGCAGCCCAGCTGTTCATGTCGAAACAGCTTGTTAAGATCTTTCCAGGAGAAGGAAACTGTACATATAAACTGTTTCTTGTTGCTGTCGGTACTTTTCCGTGATAAACGGAGGGTGGTGTGGCACAGTGGATAGGCAGCTGGCTGGGAATTCTGGCTTGGACACAGCTAGCCAGCCAAACCATTTTCTGCACCCTTTTATCCTGAAGCTCTGTAGAAATAAAACTGCACAAAGAACTAAAAATTGTAATTACTTTTGTGTATTTTCATTCCCAGTTATTAAAACCCATCACTTGAAGCGAGTTGCTGTTTGTGGCCTCTGCCGGATAGAGGATGGTGAGAACCCAGAGACCTAAAGCTGGTCATCAGGGACTAAAATAAAGAAATAATAGAAAACCTTAAGAGCGAACCTGAATGGTTGGATAAATGCAAAGCAACGCGATTTGGCATCAGTGAAATACAAAGGCGGCATCTCATACAGATGTTTTCCTTCAGATAAAAACGTGCTGCCCGCTTAGGGGCCTGACTAGTCAACCTGGCTGCTGAGCAAGTCTGTGTTTTCCTTCCTAACTTCGAACAAAATGTGTGGCCGGCAAAGAAAATCCTGTCTCTAGGCTACCAGATGCTAATTTTGCTCACACTGAAATGGCTGTAGGTTTACATTTTTATTTGCATCAGGCAAGGTCCTCTGCGCCGCAGTTCTCCTGCCCAGAAAGCCCTCTGAAAAAATGGGTGAAAAGTTGTAATTCTTAGAGCGTGGCCTCTGGCTGTGTGTTTTCTTTTGGTTCCCACCGTTCTCTCCAGCATGGGTTGTTAAAGGCTCGGTGTTTTCACATTTTTCAAAGGATATTTTTGTTCTGCATGGTGCTCTCCTTGGCCCTGCATTTATCGCTCCCTTTTACACAAACCCGGACGCTTTAACTTTTGCATTTTCACCCAGAAACTGGGAATCATCCCCATTTCATCATATCACACGAGAGAGCGCAAGTCAGAGTTAAAATGAGATGATGTGGGTTAAAACTGGAATTCGTGATAAGTTCCATGTGTGGTTGCTGCTGGAGTTGGCTATATGCTCCCCATTGTTTATGTTCCTTTAATGCAATGTGTATTCCTCTCCTTTCTGCCTTAAAAATGAAAATAAAGTTAAATTAAAATTTCCCAAGCAGCTACAGCAATCCCTTCCCTTTGGATTTACCTGAAACACATCTCGGAGAGCGGAGGTTTTTGTTACCTATGAATCTCAGGCACCTTCTCTCCTTATAGAGCAGTGGAAGCCCCTGGACCCGGAGGGGAAGAAGCAGTACGACCGGGAATTCCTACTGGATTTCCAGTTCATGCCTGCCTGTATCCAAAAGCCGGAGGGGCTGCCTCCCATAAGTGATGTGGTTCTCGACAAGGTGAGAGGAGAGCCAATAAAACAGGTGCGTGCAATTGGTTTTTTAATATAAATAAAGATCCCTAATGCATCCTTTATTCCTTGAGCGTTTCGATGCAGACTTTTGTCGGGAAGGGGAAATATTTGGCTGATGTCACATCACAGAATTCTTCAAATGGAGGGGTTGGTGCCTAATGAATGTGCACAGATGATTTAAAAACTGAAGCGTTTTTCATGGTCTCTATCTGGATTGAGTTACACCGGGTTGTTAATAAAATTTAAAATGACATAACCATGAAGAACTAAGGATATAAGCAAAGCAAGACTGAACAGAGAGGCAGTGTCTTTTATTAGATCAATTCTACGGTTAGAAAGCATAGGCAAGCTTTTGGGCAAACTCTTTCTTTGGTCCGAAACAGTTGTGTGAGTATGAGCTGATCTAATAAAAGATCTTTAAAACCTTGACTCTCAAGAAGTTTTGTGATTTCTGTCCAGCCTTATTACAGATGTGATTTTCTCTGCTGTATGTCTGCGCTTACTGAAATCCTTGTTATTTCTGAAGTGCTGACACCAAGACCTTATTCTCCTCTCGTAGTTAGAGCTATGCAGTTCATTGATTTTGATGTAACCACTACAGACTCGCTCTTAAGATTCAAGCACAGATCAGGATATAGGTGATTCTCATGCGCAGAAACATTTCCACTCTGAATTTCATACCCAGACAAATTGTAAAATGCAGCTTTGTTCCCAAAACGATTTCATCCACCTACTAGTTTTCCGTGATTGCTTCTCACTGCTCTGTCTGCTTTTGAGCTGCCTTTGCTCGGTCGGCCATCTGTCTTGTTAACACAAAAGACATTTGTTTGAGGGAAGGTGGCAGTTTTGTGATCCTGAACCAAGACTATCACATTCATTTTGCAGAAGACGGGCCCATGTCGCCATAATTTTATCCTCCATAAGTCATGCTCAGCCTTAAAATGTTTCTGAACTCCACCTATTTCCTCAATAATCACCTGCGAAAGATGTATTTTAAATTAAATGCTTATCTTTAGTGTCAGTGTGGATGCATAAAACTTGCACAGTTTGTTAAAAGCGTTAATTTGGATATTAAATATAACTATTAGCGTTTAGCAGAGGTTGTCTGTAGATCTGCGTGAACTTTGGTAGCTCCAGCACCCGCTGAACAGATCCTGTTTGTTTGTTCTGCTCCACGATGCAGGTCAATCAGCCGAAATTGCCACTGAGAACTCTGGACCCTCGGATACTGCCTCGAGGACCAGACTTCACACCAGCCTTCGCTGATTTTGGGAGGCAAACCTCTGGTGGAAGAAACGTATCTGGAAGTGTGAGTTTACCCCAACTTGCTAATTTAAAAACTGGCCTTAACGCCGATGAAGTCCATCCTCACACTTTTGGGCCTCTTCCAATGCTCCGGTGGTTCTGGTTTTGTCAGGATGAATGCAAGGGTGATGTTTTCTTGGCTATCAAAATTTAGGCAAATTAGAAAAACGTTGCGGATGTTTTTAACTGGTACGTATTGGTCTTAAATCGATTTGATCTCCTTCCCCTTTTCCCTGCGCAAGAGGCGTGGAAACATGTTTCCACGCCGAGGACCTGGCAGTCACACGTATGTGAACGCACATTTCTCGTACAACAACCCGGCATCGGTGTGTGTCATCATACGGGTCTATTGTATAAAACATGCCAATAGAGCAAATAGACTTTACTAACCAAAAAAAAGAGAATATACACAGCGCTTGTGTATGTTCTTGCTTCCATATGTTGCTTTGCTTTGGTCACTTCATTCCTTGTTTTCCTGCCTTTTCCTTTGCTTTTCTTTCACTTTCTCTTCTTTTCCCTGTGTCTGGCTTTGCCCAAACTCTGAAATCCCTCTCTGAATTCTTCCTTCTTGCCTTTGCCGTCTCTTTTTCTGGGGTGCAGGTGCCCCCCAGCACGGTGCCGCCCAGTCAGCCGCAGCTGGAGGATGGAGGCTGCCTCCACTAGGTGCAATGATTGATTTTTCATCTATCTATTAAGATACATCCAATGTATCCGTCTAGATATACCTAATGACATAGCCATCATTTATCTTTCAAAACTGCTGGTTTCAGAAGAGTTCACTGAATAACCTTGACTTCCAAGTGTGCAGATTTCCAGGAGGCTCGGAGTCAAACCTGGCGATTTTGAGTTGATGTAATATTTCTGGTTTGAGAGCGGTCTCGTGGCCAGTGCCTCAGTTCTGGGGTGCGCATCCGTGTCTTGGAGTAGCTTCGGTGTCGCGGTTTCTCTCGGAGCGTCACCCGGTCCTGAAACCTTGATGCTGTTTGAGGTCGACATCGCTTCCTATATTTAGGACTTGCAGGTTGTACTCTGGCGCCTTCTCTCCTTTCGTGCGCTGAATGTCCTGAGCCTCTCGGCATCTTGGTAACGTCCCTGTCGCTCTTTCTCTTTCCGCAGGCCTGCAAAGTGCAGAGCAACCCTGGATTGCCTTCCCTGGCTCGGTGCGGTTCCCCAGCATGCCCTCTCTTGGTCTCGCCTCACCCACCATTGAGGAACCTGCCGATAGGGGTAAGCCAAATCCCCCCCTCTCCCCCCCAATCTTTGCACCTTTTTGTAGAGTTGTCTTTTTCCCTAACGCCCACTATTGATAAAGAACGACTGGCAGAAAACTTTACAAAAAGGTGCAACAGTGTTTTAATAAAAAAAAAAAAAAAAAAAACAAAAAACAAAAACAACGAAACAAGACTTGCATTGTACCCCTCTAGGCAGTCTTCAGTGGTGGGTGGGACATCACCAGCTGAGGGCATGCTGGGACGTTGGCCTGAGCGGGATCCGCGAGGGGTCTGCACTTTGCAGACCTGTGGAAAGGGGGAGAAAAGGTAAGTCCCGCTTACCCCGTTCATTTGGAGCATTCAGCACATAACATACATCTTACATTTGCGCCTGTACAGAGTAGAGCCTTTCTTTGCGTTTTTCTCGAGGAGGGTTGGAAGGTCATGTTGTTTAACAAGCCCTGCTGTCCTGTGACGTCGGCGGTTATAGGGTGAGGGGGTTTTCAGCCCCGAGCAAAATCAGACGTTATCTTCTCGTAAAGCATGGCAAAAATCTGCGTGTACGCTGTCTGTCCACTCGGTCATTCCACCTCTGCACAGGCCATGCCCATAAACCATTAAACCCCACTGCCTATTCCTTGCCCTCGAAATAATGTCGAGCAGCTCAGCGCTAACAAGCTTTCGGCACGTTGAGAATCTTTTGTTTTGCTTTCTTGGCTTTTGTCTTTATTTCCTTCTTTTCGCTTAAACGTGTTGTATGACTGTTTTTAGAACTAACAAGTGTCGCATCAAACAACACAAGGGATGTAATTACACAGGAACAAAATATAGCTAATAAACATTTTTTGATGTAGACAAGAAGTTAGATGAGTGCAGCGGGTAACAAGATGCAAACACGGAGAGATAGGGTTGGAGAGGACCAGTCCATCCCCACAAGCCAAGGCAGGATGTGTCTGCTTTTATCCTTCCTTGGAGGTGGTGGAAACTCGAGTCACCTCGATTCTTGTGCTTCCCTGGAAGGCAGAGTCACTCCTAGCGTCTAAGCTCAATTTCGCCTTCTGCATTTGAAGCTTGTTGTAGGGGGAGAAGCAGTTCTTAAATTTCTTGGATGTTTTTTAAAGCGTTACCGTGACTTGTGTCCTAAGAGCAGAAGTGGACCATGAGGGAGAGCATCAGGTCGTGCTGTGTTGCTGTGAGTTTTTGGCTCCTCTGCAGGAGGCTTGTCCCTGTTTCTTTCTACTTTCCTTTTTTCCCCCTCTTCATCCGGAAGACAGGTACTTCAGATTAATGTAGTAGCATCTGGTAAGCACTTCTCCGTACCTTTGGTGGAAAATATTATTTCAGTGCAAGCTGTAGCGCTGTAATCGCAGGTGCTACAGAACCGTTATTATTTACTTGGACTGGGTTACAAAAGGAGGCCAGGCATGAGCTCAGGCACCTCTTTAACTTGCTGCTTTGTAAATTTGGAACCAAAAAACCCCAGATTTTTTCTGTTAAAAGTTTGATCCATATATTATTTTATTACATGTTCAAAGGAGGCTTCTGTTCACTGCTTTTAAAACCTAATCAAACAAGTTTATTCACAGATATTAAAAAAATACAGTCTTAAAGAAAACCTTTCTTCTATTAATGCATTTAAAGGTCTGGTCTCAAAGGCAGCCAGATTTGAGGAGGCTGTAACATGTAACATGCTGATATTCAGATGATGCACAAGCGGTCCTTGCATCCATCAGTTTTGCAAGAGAAATAGTCACCTCCTTCAGGGAGGTGTGTTTGCTCTAAAAGCCAACGCTTCGGCTTTGCGTGGACCCGTATCCAAGGAAGCACCGTGCCTCTGCGGCTCTGTCCTCGCGCCGTACAGCCCGGCTGCGGTTGGAAGGTCCCTCAGACCAGAGCTGCCTCTGCGCAAGAGAGACGCGGCGGCCGTGGGTTACCTGTCGTCAGCTTTGCCCGTGTTTCTGGGGGAAATGAGCCCAAATGTTTTGATTTTCAGGGCACATTGCCAGTCTGGCTCTGGTTACCAAGCTTTCTGTGGGCAAGGAGGTGTGTGATGAGGTCTAGTGCGCGTGGCTGAAACCGGTCGGTTTTCTGTTGCGTTATTGTCTGGTTTTTCAGCTGGAGGGAAGTTTCTTCTTTCCACGGCAATACGTTTATAGCGTGGTTAGAACCTGGGCAGCAAAATTGTGTGAAATTGCATAAAAACAGAGGTGAATGTCTCAACGCAGGGCTGCGAAGCAGACTTTGCTGCGTCATACTCGTGTTGATCAAGGGCTCTGGGTGGGAGCGGAGAGGGGTCGTAGGGGGAGGGATTGACAACTGTTTTAGGAAGGCATCTAACACACAAAAGCATCGTCAAGGCTCCCCGTTCTCGCTGGCTTATTGCACTGTTGATTTCTCGGGAGCGATCGACTCACGCGGTTGCGTTACAATTACAGCGTGCGCCCGAAAAGGTTTGAACGAGTCTGATGGGTTATTTCTGTGCGTGCCAGCGGGATCTGAACGCAGGTCTTCGTAGGTGGTGGGGCAGCGCGCTAACACGCTGCACCACGTAGCCCTCTTCCAGGCATCGCCTCAGCATACGAAGCACATCACGGCATGAGGTCGTTGTCTTTTGACAACCTCTTATTCTGTTGCTGTTATCACATAACGAAGCCCAAACGAGATCTCCAGCAGTGGCGGTGATTATGTTCGTTTGCTTTCATCAGCGGCACATATTTACGTTGTCAAAGCCAAGCGGTTCAAATCCCAGATACAAGCTCCTGCCTTTAAGGAGGGTTTTCTTCTTTAATTGTGCAAAGGTGGGTTTGGGGCTGATATATGACATGAGAGGCACCAGCTAAGAGCCTCTCCTCATGTATTCAGTGAAGCTGTTTGAATAACTGAGCTGGTTTTGCCTCTCTGAGGCTCATTGAATCCCCTTGTTGAACAAAGAAATGTTTTAAATGGCCCATCTTTCATGTGGAGGTTGCCTACCGCCCACTGAAGAGATTAATTACTTCTGTGGAAAGTAACGGGGTTTGATAATGAAGTTTTGTTGCTGCGCTAATTTTTACGCTGAGGTTGGACATTTCTAATAAATGAGTTCAGAAATACAAAAGAGCACAGAGGAAGAATAACCTCCTGACAACATTTGATACCTTTAGTCCTTAATCAGAAGCTCCCGGATGATGAAGAGGGAGTTTGGGGGTGTCTTGTGCCCTACCGCTTGTACAGCCGATGAAAAACTCCCCAGTTTCAGCAGTTTTCATATCTGATTTGACCAGGAGGACCATCACGTTATACAGGATGCAGAGAAGCGCTTGATGCTGTTTCAAACAAAGTACTGTGTTTCCTTTCTTCTGTGAAACCACAGAGAGTTTGACCCACATCTGTTAGGATCCATGTTTCTACTGATGCTCCATTCAGTGTGTTTTATGTAATTCCTGTCTCAGAATGGCTCTGTTTGAAGCAATCTCCAGTAAAACATAACATTTTTGGCAGAGCTGCTAACTTATCATTATCTAATTGCTTGGGATGGCACATTTGAAATACACCTGTAAGGACTGATTTAATCCTTAAATACGCCTTTGCTACGATGCCTCAGTTACGCAGTTTCTGGTCAGTCGGGTTAATTCTGCAGCGCTGAACCGGAGCATCGCCAATGCACGTACGCAGTGGTCATCCCATGTCTGTTTTGGGAAAAACTGGCCAAGAGAAACGTGTTTGGTGTCTTCCTGTTCCCTCTGACCAACCCGGACCAGTGTGTTGGGTCAGAGGGAGTCCTCCAAGTCCTAGGATGAGTTGCCAGTTGACGGTGTTGCCATCGGCGGGTGTTGGCTTGCGCCCTGGAGTGTTTTATTGAGATGCGAGTTTAAAAGGGGATATAACAAGGAATGTTTTTGTCCTAGTTGTTGAATGTTGGACCGAGGAGATCTCAGCCAGGCCAGAGGAGAGAGCCCAGGAAGATCATCACTGTGTGTGTGAAGGAGGACGTCCACCTGAAGAAGGCAGAGAACGCCTGGAAGCCGAGCCTGAAGAGAGAAAACCAAACTGAGGACCCGGAAAATGTCAAAACTCAGGTGAGAGCATTAGCAAGCACTTCTGAGTGCAGCAGTCTGTAACAGAAGGAGGATGATAATTTGCCTTTGCTGTTGTGTAAGACAGTAAAAAAGGGCAATGAATTCCAGTTTGAATCACGGCTTTCCCCTACCTTGGTTATTTTTTTTCATGTGTTTATTCTTGACCTGGAGTTTAAATGGCAATCCTGTATATTAAGCGAGTCTAAATAGGGAACACCAGACAACCTACTACCTCTCTTCCAGGATTGTTTTTCTATTGCTATTTTACTAGAACATTTCTGTCTCCATTCTAAAGCAAACAACCTCAAACTTCCAGCACAGAACTTGCTTTTCATCCCCTTTTAGACACGTTTTGCCCTGAACCTCAGCAAGACTGAGGTTCCTCTGTCCGTCTGTCCTGCCCAGCCCAACAGCGCCGTCTCTGAAGCTTTCTCTGTGTCTTTCTCCCCCTCCTCTCCTCTGTGGGGCAGCCATTCTGGGCGGAGGTATTTGCCTGGTGGTCAAACCTGTGATTTGTAGGATAAGTTGGCATAGCCTTGAAGGACACTGGAATTCTGTTCTCGGGGCTAATGGCAGCGTTGTTGACCTAATTATCATTCTGGATAGGAAAAAAAAAAAGTGCCTTAAAGTAAATATAGGAGGAGTTGATTACCTCTAGTTGAGGGAGAAGGCGGCCACTCCCTGTTAATTTATATCTCATGGCTAAATTGATATCGAGAATATTTCAGTTGGGTGACAGCATGGGCTTTGTGCCTCTGTCGCACTTGAAAAACGCACTTGGGCATTTCCAAAAATCCTGCCCTGCAGCTTTGGTCTTTGGTAGCTGGTAGCTGAGTTAGAACTGGAGCTGGACTGTGCACAAATGTGTGTCTGTGTGTAACTCAACTTCCCAGAAGTTCCTATAGGACATCATCTCTGTTCACCTTTAAGATGCATCCTAGCTCATTCTGAAAGCCACCTACTCAATTTGTGCTTAAACTTAAAGTTTTCCTGTCCTTTAGGAGCTGTTCCGCAAGGTACGAAGCATCTTGAACAAGCTGACGCCCCAGATGTTCAATCAGCTCATGAAGCAAGTGACAGACCTGACGGTAGATACAGAAGAGAGGCTGAAAGGAGTCATCGACCTGGTCTTTGAGAAGGCTATCGATGAACCGAGCTTCTCGGTGGCCTATGCCAACATGTGCAGATGTCTTGTAACGGTAAGAGCCCCCAGAGTCAAATGGGAAATTCCTCTGCACGGGTGAATGTGCTGCGCATTATCCCCATGAACTGATTGGCGGTAATATAAACGTGGCAAGAGCAGAGTTAAATGTTAGTTTCTGAACGTAAATAAAAATAATTTACATGACGGATTTCTTCTTCTACATTCATTGCCATGCCTGCAGGCAGAGGGCTTTGCTTGGAGTGATGTGTTGTTTGGAGCTGACGACACTTTGCTCTGCCTGGTCACAAGATGCAATGAGTCACGTTTGGGAAGTCCAATTTCTCTCTCTGTTTCGAAGGGGAGCCCAAGGTGCCGAGCCAAGCTTCGGACAGCCAGTTTCCAGGTGGTGAACTTGGGACAAAATAACCCCCTTCTTCCCCCGATCCTTCGTGACGTGCAACGAAGGAGCACGGCTCCAGAGTCTTCAGCGCATAACGAGGGTGTTTTTAAGCAGTGTGTCTTTTTAAAGGATCCTGTGAATGGAAATGTAATCTGTCTCCGGGCAGAGGTGGTGTCAGCCAAGTTTTGAGTGCGACTTTACATGTGAAATGTAAAACTTGGCTGGAAATCATGACGTGATGCTTAACTGTCATAGCCTTGCAGACTTGCATTGCTGAATATGGAGTGCATAATAAAATGTAATGGATGGCTTATAGGAAACCTCGCTCGTATGTAGGGTTTAGCCTTATTTCTGTTGGTGTCTTCCTTCCTTCTCCTGCAGCTGAAAGTGCCCATGGCAGACAAACCTGGGAGCACAGTAAATTTCCGCAAGTTGCTGTTAAATCGCTGCCAGAAGGAATTTGAAAAGGACAAGGCTGACGACGATGTCTTTGAAAAGAAGCAGAAAGAACTTGAAGCTGCTACCACTGTAAGTGGTTATTTTTCACCATAAATTCTCAGAGCTCCCTCTGAAAATGATCCCTTTTGAAGATGGCCGTCGATTTGGGGGGAATTTTGGAGTTGAGAGTTTCATTCTGTCACTGTGGCTGAGTATAATAAAGAATATTTGCCTTGATTAGCGGGTTTATACCAGCCTCTTTTTGGTTTTTAGGAGAAAAAGAGTAAACAGGGACAACAGCAACTATAAACATAAAACTGGATCTTTTGAAGAGTTCTGTACTCTGTGAACATGTTTTTTTAGAGCTGTTTTTCTGTTTCACAGCCAGAGGAGAAGACGCGGCTCCATGACGAGCTGGAAGAGGCCAAGGACAAAGCCCGACGGAGATCCATTGGGAATATAAAATTCATTGGCGAGCTTTTCAAGCTAAAAATGCTGACGGAGGCTATCATGCATGACTGCGTGGTAAAGCTGCTGAAAAACCACGATGAGGAGTCCCTCGAGTGCCTTTGCCGCCTGCTAACTACCATTGGCAAGGACCTGGACTTTGAGAAAGCAAAGGTAGGGCAGGACCGGGAGGGAGAGATGAGGCTTTCAGGGCAGGGATGGAAAAATGCTTGTGGGGTGTTTTTATTTGAGGATTTATTTTTTCTTCAGGAATTTCTGTACGGCATGAGGAAATCATCCGCTTTTCCGTGGATGTTTCATCACAACCTGGCCTCGCTCCCTCCTCTCTGTCCCTTTCTAATAGAGCCTGTATCATTTTCAACGGTGTTCTCCAGTCGCTACTTGTTTCCAAATATTTCATCCAAGCACACCGTCTAAAAGTGTTCAACAGATCCTATGGGTTTCTTTTTCCAAACAGAATTTAACTCCTATCTGTAGTTTCCAAAACATTAAGATTTAGCATTACTTCTTTACCATTGAAGGCTTATATTACCTACGAAACCTACCCTGAATGTATTGTTCAGGTTAAATCTAGAAAAAACCTCATTAACTGGCCTAAACCCCCACCTGAACCTTGGTGGATGCATTTATTTTGTGTCATCATCATCTCCAGCTATGCTGGAATGAAGCAGCTGTTTTGCAACTGCAGCGCTCCAGCATCCTCCTCCTGACTTTCCAGCAAATGTATATGTAGCATGGAGCATTACGCACTCGATGAGCTTCTCTTGGCACAGATGAATCTGCTTCTCCTTCGCAAAAGCCAGGATTGGGATGAAAAAGCATTCGAGGGTTTTGCCAGAAATCAGTCGGACTCAGCTCTGGAAACAAACGGAGCTAATTGTTTTCAGCTGCTTGGGGAAGGGAGTTCCCTTACAGTGCGCTGGATTGCAGGGATCACGGCGGATCAATCCTGATCCTTACAGGGAAACAGTTTCCCAAACTGTTTTGTGGAGCATTGACCAAAACAGCGTAGTTTACCACTAATCCCCCAGGCTAAATACCCTACGCTGTTAACGCAACAGCGCGTGCGTTACTGATGCAGGTTTGAAAGTGGCAGAAGCGGGGATTAAATTTCTCCACGTGCTCTGGGAAGAAAACAGGGTCTGACTTCTAAGCAGTAGCTGAGGTCTTGTTGGATGAGTCCTGGATGCCGTTTCGGTCTTTGCGAGCATGGAAACACTGTAAAAGCCAGCGTTTTGGTGCACTGGCCGGTTCTGCAACCTCGAGCCGTGGCACCGTGTAGCAGAGAGCGTGCACGCAGCGGGGAAAAGCTTGCAGATGTCGTGTTACCCGTTGTGAGAAGCTGCCTGTGTCCTGTCTTTGTGATTTGTTATTTCTATCGAGATTGAGTGAGAATGCTTTATTTATTTTCTATTAATGGGGTAGACGTTTTATTATGTATTTTTATTGAAGCTGAAGTGTTAGTGATAGTTATAATTAAAGCTTCTGGACAAAGTCCATTTTAAATATTTTCCCCGTCATTCCTAGCTTCGGAAACATTTGCTCTCAGAGCTGAAACTTTCCAAGGCAAGGCCAGAACCAAATTTTAATACGATTTTTCTTGTTTGTTTAAGTATAAGGAAAAGGGTTTAGCTAGATTTTCATGAAGGGAGTGGGAACATTTTATAAAACTGCCCTGAAACATTTTGTTTAAAACAGCCAGAGCCCCCATTTTGGGGAAGAAGGCTTTTTGGAGCCTGGCGAGTCAAATTTAGACTTAATGGAGGCTTCTCTAATGATACCATTTCATGTCTTTGTGCAAACTGATTTGGATTCCATCACATCATGACTTTTTGGATGAAAAGGAGCTTGTGGGATTTCATACTACAGCTAAGCCCATTAAACAGCTTCTTGCTGAGAGCAGCAGTGCTTCTGCCCCTGCTTCTCTTGCCTGACCCCGGCTGAGACAGTTCAGGGAGGTAAAGCATCGAAATGATGTGTGCAGGGTTAGTTTTATGCCCGTTTAGTTTCCTGAGCCAGTTTTTCTTGGGCTGAGGTGAGCACGCATGCTGATATGAAAAGGAGGAGCTCGGAGGTAGAGCAGGACTCCCCTTTCTGGTGGCAGCTAGCCAGCAGAACAGGTTAGCTGTACCATGAAAAAAACCACATTGATTTTTTTTTTTTTTTTTGTTAATGGATGGCAAGTTTATTATGTACATGCAGAGGGTGTAGATTATTTGAGTAATTAAAAATGCAGAGAAAGCATGTGCTAAACAAAGGAGGTGCCCACAGACTTGGGCCTCATTTCCTGCACCTCCTGCACCGCACACACTCAAATCCACCCTGGGGGGAGCGTGCGAGACCCAACACTCCCTTCTCCGGAGCACAGCTCTGGGTCCCCTGATGTGTTTCTGGCACAGAAATGCTGTAATGCAGAACCCACCGACTCTCCACCTGAGGGATTATTTTAATTGTCTTCCAAGACACGTTGATGATGATGTTTCTCTTGTGTAGCCTCGCATGGACCAGTATTTTAATCAGATGGAGAAGATTGTGAAAGAGAGGAAAACATCTTCAAGGATTCGGTTCATGCTTCAGGATGTAATAGACCTAAGGCTGGTAGGTGCCAACTCAAGTAAGTAGAAGAGCATGTTCCCGTTCACGTCCAGGCTGGAAGAGCTCTCATGCAAGAGCAGGGATTTACAGTATTTACAGCAGAAGTGGGATGTTAGGGGGAGATCTGTGCCCCTTATCCCAAAAGTCTGGCTTTTTAAAGACAAGAAATCTCTTCATTTTGCCTTAATGAAGGCCAAGGTTGATAGACAGGCAAACTGCTTCTGTTGGGTGTTTTGGTTCTGCTTGATATTAGATGCGTGCCCACACCGGCTTCTCACGCTGCTAGTCCAGCCCCATTGCAGCAGACACGCCTGAGCTCTTTTCACAGGAGAGGTTTTGGGTGTTTTTTCCCCAGAGCATCCCCTGTGCTTGTCTGCATCAGTTGCGCTGCTTTGCTGTCTTTGTTTCCATGCTCTCTGGGTGTAACTGTTTCCTGCCAGCACTTAGTTGTGCTGATGGGGCTAAGTGCTCCGAGATGCGTACCCCACGAGTGACGGGGACCGGATAGTTTGGCTGTAAAAACTGTGAGGGCCCTTTTTCATGGCAGTGCGGATTTCATCAAAAGATGGTCCTATGTTAGCCTGTATTGCTAGCACAGCCAGGCATCTGCTAGTTGTTTACTGGCCATATTGTGCAGACAAAAGCAAATGGAGTCTGCACTCCGTCATGATGATGGTGGGTCCACACTAAGCTCCAAAAGCTACAGGTAGGATATAACTTGGTGCAGACGAGTGACGCACACAGTGCAGACAGGGACCTGCCCGTGTTGTGATCAACCAACGGTTTTGAACATAGCCAAGGCGTTAAAGCTGGAGTCTCGTACAGTGAAGGGTGTCTCTACTCTGTGCGGTTAAAGATGTGACTGCAGGTTGCACAAACCTTCCCCAGCGCCTGTAGTTTCACCCATGTAGGCGCTGATAGCAGCGTGGCTTTAGCCATGAGGCAGCACCTGACTGAAGTCCTGAGCGGGTTTTACTCATACCTCAAATAGCTGTTTTGAAGCTGGTTTGGGGGTTTGTGGAGGCTGAAGTCACCCTTTTGACTGCAGGGTACGCAAAGATAATTACCCCAAAAGTTGTAAGGAGGTTGTAGCAAGATCAAGAGACAGTCTGGTTATTCTGGGGATAGATGGATCTGTGCAGCGTATGGTTGAATAGACACATCAAGCTAGTGGAAATGTTTTGTGGAGAGACAGCTCCACCTCTCTCTGCAGGATTCCTGTCTTAGCCATCACGATCCCTGGAGTGGTAAAGCACCATCCCCAGATAAAATGCAGTCGCTTCTTGCTTCTTTATTTTCAGGGTTTCATTTTTTTTCCTCAAGCTTGGAGGAAGGGCTTCAACAAACGGTGTCAGTAATAAACGGATAGAGAATGACAGCAGCCTCCTTCTAGTCCTTCTCTTTCCTCTGAACCTAGAAAGGCTGGAAAGCTGGGAATGTGCAGGACACTAGGGGTTAAAATGTCTGGAATTCAGTCATGCCTCTCCAAAGTCAGGTCTTCACTGCAGCCTCCATTCTCCACCAAAACGTACACCGCAGTCTATATACCAGAGTACGTAGCTTTGACCTGCGGTGCTGGGGTAACCATATCCACAACGTGACCCAGTTCTACAAAATTTTCCCCAGTCCCTCGGCGAGCAGCCCCTCTAAGACTGGGAGGATTAAGCCTCATTTGCGGTGTTCAAAATACCCTATTTACGATGCTCCTGTGGAAGTATCTCTGAGCATGTGTTTGCTTCTTTCCTAGTGCAACTGGGTGTCACGGAGAGCAGACCAGGGCCCGAAGACCATCGAGCAGATTCATAAAGAAGCCAAGATTGAAGAGCAAGAAGAACAGAGGAAGGTCCAACAACTCATGACCAAAGAGAAGAGGAGACCGGGTAAAGTAAAAGCCAAGTTGGCTGCTCGTTTCACTCATTTCACATCCAGTGGCCATAGCCAGAATGCCACATAACAGAAAAAAGTCTGTTTTTTTCCTAAGTGTAATGAGCAAAGGGAATTGGGGCCTGATTATGGCTGAGGCTGGAGGAGGAACAGACTTGCCATGGGCTGGCTGTGTGGATTTTTCAGGGGCAAATCCCTTGGGTAAAAATAAACAATCGCAGGCCAATAGTGCCTAAGTTTTGTATTCATGCAAACCATATTTGATTTTGTGACAGGCTGCCAGAAATCTGTTATAACAAGTTACTACGTAGGAGTCAGATTCGCCATCCATTCTTGCATACAGCAGCGTCTAATTTCAAGAGAATAGCATCTAATTTCAAGAGTAACCATGTTGTCTTTAGCTGTTAAAGTTGTGAGGTGTTAACTCAGCATGAAAAAGTGTCTTGGCATTAACTTAAATTGCTCCCAGCCCTTGAGGCTGACACTACCTGAAGAATTTGGAGTGACTGGGAAAATGAAGACTGGGACAGAGCAGGGCAAGGAGAAAGTCATCTTTGGGATTCTTTAATACTGAGGATTGTCAAATGAAAGTGCTGTGAAGACAAGGCGTAAAGAAAATACACATGGACTTTGTTTTAATGATCCTAAAACTGAGATCAGGAGAAGCTAAGGAACTTGGGACTGCCTGAATGGTTCTGCGTCTAGACTAGCCTAGCACTGCTGAAATTTGTGCAACAAGTGTGGCTTTGGGTTAGCAAAGGCAAGTCGTCTGCTCGTTTTGTGAGCTTGTGAACGCACAGTATGTGCAGCCATATCCAAATCGCAAGAACACACATGGGAAATCTAACCAGGAAGAATCACTACCAAAAACAGCCCTTGAAAATAGTGACATCTTTTATGTCAAGGCTATTTTATAATAATGAAGTCAGGCAAGCTAGTTATGTCTTCTTAGGCTGAAGAAACACTCCGAAAGACATGATTTCTGCATAGAATTGTGCTGAGGCTTAGCAGAAACGTGCCATTTTCTTTTCCTCCTCCTGTTGAACTTGGAGACAATCGCCTGCGTTCTCCCGGGGCGCCGCTGGAGCAGCGGGGATGAGCTAAGGGCGGTTGTGTTTGTTGTCTGGCAGGTGTCCAGCGGGTCGATGAAGGCGGTTGGAACACTGTGCAGGGGGCAAAGAACAGCAGAGTGCTGGACCCCACCAAGTTCCTTAAAATCACCAAGGTAGGTGCCAGCATAAGACTCGTTCAGAGCAACAAAAATGCTGAGGTCTTACCTTATTGTATCTGACTGTCTCAGAAAGACCATTACGGTGTTTATGGGTCAAAACTTTTGGGACATTTTAAATCCCCAGAGTTAGTACTGTGCATAAATAAAGCACAAAGGAAGATTCCGTTGTCTTCTGAATGTTCCTATTCTGCTTGTTCTAAGGGAAAGGAGTATGCATACACTTTTTCTCAGGTTTATAGTGTCCTTTTAGTGACCCAGAAGTTTTTTTTAGTTGGAAAATCTGCGTTTTTATTAAATGATGAAAAGAGAATGTGAGTCAGGGTATCGTGTGTGACGGTGATGCAGCACATCACGTGGCTGTTACAGAAGGCGTCTCAGACACCTGTCTGATAGAAATCCTTTGCTGCCTCAAGTTCTCAAGACCCTATTCTGACGCTGCTTTTTAGTAGAATTGAGGATGCCATGTTCATTTTGAAATGAAACATTCCTGACGTGTCACAGATGGCAGCACTCCAGGATTGAAAGGTTCAAGTATTACGAGAGGAGCTGTGTCCGCTTTTACAGTGTTTCTGAACTTGTGTCCGGTGCAGTTGCATAATCAGTACGTGTTAAACTTTCACACCCATCCTCCAGATGAGCATCTTCCTGTTATTTTACCACTAAAGTGGTGATTTTGGGACATTTATTTCAAGCTGCAGGTTAGGCAAGCTTGGAGATTCCTCCTTTTTTAATGAGTAGCTTTGGGATTTCTCGTCAAGGAGAACTCAGTCTTTCACATAAATCAGGGTGTTTCCTAGACATTCCCTTGTCCCAGTTAATGTCACTCTCCCTGAATTTTACTCTCAGTGCCTGGATGCTTGGAGAGCTGTAAAGCAGAACCTGGACAGATTGTAGCCCTTTTGCAGATCAAGCTCAGTTTGTTCCTTGTGAAAGTCATAAAACAAGACTCCAAAACTTAATTAGCAGGAGGGATTCAGCCTGCTTTTGTCTGGGCTTACAGCTCATCTGGGAAAAGTCCTTCTACTCCATTCAGTACAAATACAGTACAAGTAGGGCTAGCTCCACAACAGCTGCATTGTCGGAAGGAGAGAGGAGCTCATACAAAGAGATCTGTGGGGTCACAACCTCCTTGTCAATAAATTTACCTACTGAGCATTGTAAAGTCAATGTTCTCTTCTTGTCAGACACTACTTTTTCCCTCCAAGTTCTGCAACCTATTGTTGTTCTTCGCCCTCTGAATTCTGTTTGTTACCATGCAGATTCCCCCCAAAGCCATGACTGGTAGGTGGAGTGGACAGCAGAACCATTTTACTTGTCACAAACAGACTGAATATCTTTCCAGTACTGATATACTGCACTTTTTCCTCCTTACTGAGCTTCAGAGTTCCCAACAAAAAGAAGCTCCTGGTCATTGCGAACGTCTATCACCGACACTTTGGAAGAGGCCGATTGTGATACCCTTTGTTGTTTGCGTCCTCTATCTTTGGCTAGGGTTTGGTCTTCCAAAAATGTCTTGAGGTATATTTTGGCGTTCACAAGATGGGGGTTGTTGCAAAAAATACCCCATTTATAATTAAGATGTACGATTTGCCCTTGTAATGGTATGTCTCGATGTGTTTTACAGCCCACAATAGATGAGAAAATTCAGCTTGTGCCTAAAGCCCAGTTGGGCAGCTGGGGAAAGGGCAGCAGTGGTGGAGCAAAGGCAAGCGAGATGGGTAAGTCAGGACAGGTCCTCACCCTCTGCTTTGATACCAGCCGTCCTTGCCAAGGGCAGATTTGGGTGGGAATGCTCGTCTCTGTGTGTGACTGCCTGGCAAGCAGGGTTAAGGTGGGGCAGGACCAGCCTTTTCTCTTCAGTTCCCTCCCCATCGCTCCGAAAACAGCTATTGCTTAAATGATTTTGTGATGCCAAGGTGTCAGCGGCTACTGACCTTGTTGTCGATCTTCTCTGTTTTGTCTTTACAATCTCCCAGACTCCTTACGACCAAGTGCCACTAGTTTGAACAGATTTTCTGCACTGCAGCCTCCGGTCTCATCTGTGTCTGCCTCATCCGCATCCTCAGAATTAGATTCTCGCAGGGCCTTAACTAGGTAAGCTTCGGTCTGCCGGTGATTTTCCCTTCCGCTGCCTGTACACCTGCGCTTTTCACTTGCTGCTCTAGTTATCAGCACACAGAAAAAAGAGAATTTCATTTTGTTTCCGGGAATGGCTGGGTCTTTCTTCCCCCCCCCCGTGTATTTTGAGCTAACTTAAAACACATGCATCTTTTATAATATCATAGGAGAGACAGGTGGTATTAATTTTTAAAGCCATTACGGTGAATGTTTTAGTTTCCACTTTTCAGTCACTGTTTAGCTAAAGGATACATTTGCTAGTAGTTTATAACAGGTTAAAAACTCTTCAGATAAAATGTTATAATAAATCGGTATGCAGGTTGGGTTCAATCGTGGTGGGTTCAGCCAGGTCAGTAGGTTTATTTATCCGGAAAAACATGCCTAAAACCTTGGAGAAATTTAGCAGGGCTCTTAAAACACTCTGGCTGTGTCTGACCCTTCCCATTAGGTGTATCCAAGCCTGCCCGTGCATCACGCGATGCATACATAAGGCTGTGCAGTGCTCTCCCACACCCCGATTTCCTCAGGGCTACAGCCACTCCAGCTTGTAGCATGAAACATGTATTAACCCTCAATAATTTATTGACTCTAGACACGGTTTATAAACGTACAGTTCATTTAAAATGTCACTGGTTCTTCCAGTACACACCAGCTGCTGGACTGTTTTCTTGGGTTTGTCCCTTTGATGTTTTCCCTCCTGTTTCACCTAAAACTCTGCCTTACCTGGAGATTATGTCATTTTGGTATCATTTTGCCCATCTTGCTCATTAACACAGTAGTTAATAGGACAGATCCTTGTCACCTGTTGCTGGTAACCTTCACTGTTCTGAAACTATTTTTCAATAAATGGGTAAGAAAAATACACCGCTCATACCATTTCACAGTAAAACAGTGCCTTTACATTATAAAATTCACATATAAAATGGGTGCTGTAAGGACTTTATTGCTTTTCCTTGTGTTCTCTAGGAAGCGTTGGCTCTGCCTGTCCACTCTGGATATTTGTGTTTGTGCAGCTCTGAGACTTGAGTTAATTTTGATTATATTCTGTGTAGCTACAACTGTAAAAAGTCAAGACAAAAATCCTGCTGGGTTTGAGTTGTGTTTTTTTCCCTGCAGTTACTATAAAGCTGTCCAGTATCTTTTCTAACATTACCAGCATTGCGAGCAGGGATTACTCGTACCATAACCTTTAAGCGCGTGTGGTTTTGTTCCGCAGTCGCGGGAGCACGGGCAGGGAGAAGAATGACAAACCTCTCCCACCTTCCCTCTCCCGTCCCAACACCTTCCTACGGGGCAGCAGCAGTAAAGAGCTGCTGCTCGACAATCAGGCACAAGAGGAGCAGCGGAGGGAGATGCTGGAGACAGTGAAGCAGTTAACAGGCGGCATGGAGATGGACAGAAACAGCACAGAGGCAGAGAGGAACAAAGCCAAGGAATCTGGTAAGTGGCTCTTCCATGCTCGAGGAATCTTGCTGGATGTGTGAAAAGGCATAAGGGAAAAATCTATCAGAAAAAGTGACAGATTTTCTGCGCAGCGGTGTGAATATTTGGCCCGCAGTGACGCATCGTCAAGCTGCGATAGCTGTGGTCTGTCTCCCAAAGGTTTGTAACACAACTGATTCATACAGGCCTTGGCGTCATCTCCTCTCACCAGCTCCTCCTTAGGATTCATCAGAGTTGAAAGGCTGGAGATACCAGCAGAACACCGCTCCGCGCATTGTCTTGCCTGCTCATACCCTGTCACTGTTGCTGCTGGTTTCTGGGTTAAAAGTCCCCAAAATCAGCGTCAGTTCTGCAGAAATGCTTCTTCAGTGCCCAGTGAAGCGGTATCTACCCTTTCCAAACATTTCCCAAGGCCAGAGCAGTGATTTGGGTCTGGGACAGACCATGCACGGTATCTTTTTAGCGCTGTGTTGTTGCCAGCCTTCCCTCCAAGCAGGTCTTGGTGCAGTGTGGCATTAGCACCCACCTTGTCAGCGCTGCAGCTCCCACTCTTTGTTCCTGCCAGCTTGAGCTGATTTGTTAGTGAGAAAATATTGAGGACACGTAGAGCGATGTTCCCTGTGGACAGAACCTTTGCGATAAGTACAGTGTTTTGCTCCTTCCCTGGGAAACATCTGGAAACTGCTGCACTGAGGAATACATCTTGACTGCCACGACACAGCACACGCTCGTCTTGAAGCTTTGGGACTTCGTAAAGAACTTCACAGGGACCAAGGTTTTGGGGATGTGATCAGGAGATTGCTTTGGGTTGCTGCCCATTGCAGTCAGCATGTTTTAAATTTGCGGCATGCTGTAACAGCTCAAAGTTTAATTATTTAATGTTGATAGAGAGCTTTGAAGGTGTTGCATCCTGTGTCACTGCCAACTGTGTTTCTACAAGAAGATTGAATTACAGAAATATTGGGAGTTCATACAGGGGGAAATGTAGCCAAGAAAGAAGTGACCCGCGCCTGATGATGGGACAGGGAACACACCCTGTGCCAGTGACTTCTGTTTTCAGAATGTCGTCTCTGAAAATGATGCTGATTTTCCTTTTCCAAAAGTGTTTTTTTTGTTATATTTCTACCAGCCAAGCCAGAAGCTCCCCCAGCTCCAGCGCAAGAAAAGCCTTCACTATCAGAAGAGGAAATAGAGAGAAAATGCAAATCTATCATTGATGAGTTCTTGCATATTAATGATTTTAAGGTAAGCGAAATGAAAATCTCACTTAGCAGAAAGGTCTGTGGGACTGGAGTGTGTTTTCTCTCCAGGAACACTGTCCTTGTAAGCCCCCAGCTCGCACAGAGGTCACAGAAATGGTGGGGCCTGTCAAAATTTGGGTGGCAGCAGCTGCATGAGCGTTTTCAGGACAGTTGTCTCCCAAACTTGTTTCCTGCCATGCTAGTAACAGGAAAAATAGCCTAGCTTGTGTGTTTTAAGTAGCAAGATGTATGTGTATCTGTCATGAATCACTGAGCAGCTCCATAATAACAGCAATTTTGGAAGCAGAAAAGCTAGTGGGAAAATAAACTGAGGTTTTCATTCAGTTATCAAAGCATGTGCTGTTCTGATCTGGAGGCAGATAAAGCAATACTAAATATTGAACAAACCACTCCAGAGTATTTTTAATAAACATTGAAAATTACTGAGCAGCTGTCATCACTTCCTAGTTAAAGGTTGAAATTTTGTTTCCTTTGTAAATGGATTTTTAGCTTGTCCAGGGAGTTTGCAAGACGTGTTACATTTGCTGCAAAACTGATTGGTTTGATCTTTTGCTGAAATAAATTTTAAAAACCTGCCAAGTTTGAAATGGCAGCACTAGGGAGTTCCTAGTTTGGCACCCTAAAAGCAGAGTTGCTGCTTGCGCTTCATAGGGCTTCCAATTAAAATCGGAAAGAGGAATATTCTTATGATGGATTGTTTTGGGTTCACATCTAGTTATCAGGAGAAATTATTAAATCCTGGTTTTGGAGAAAAAAAAAAAAATACACTTTGATTCGCAATGTCCCCCAGCTTGCTGGCCTGGCAGATCAGCAGGAGGAGTCGGGGACGGTGGGGCTGTCCGGTTCCTTTTCTTTTTGCAATAGACTTCAGAGTCTAACCCCTGGATGCCTGGGGCTAAGGGGATGCTTCAGTTTCGGTGCTTGCAAATACAATGACATATTTTTATGGCTGGATAGAAATAGAGTTGAAATGTATTCAAATGCAGCATGCAACAAAGCTTCTCACTAATTCAGCTTAAACTCATGTTAATGAGGCCATATATGAGTGTGTTAATGTAGTATATAGCAGAGGAATAGCTGTTTCTCATTAGTTTAGTCTTCAGTATTTAACCTGACTGTAAATTAACACTGCTGAGCTGTATGCCGGTGTCTAGTGACAGCAGGGTCAACCAGCGGCATGTTCACCTGTCTGTCCTGGAGACACCGGGAGCCGTCAGGCACGTCTGACAGAAGAGCTCTGACCCGAGCGTGCAGTCTGGGACCGCCAGGCTTGTCACCTGCAGAAAAAAGCTGTTTGGGGCTCTAAAAATGCATCTGGGGCTGCCAGTTCTTGATATCTAAAGGCATAACCTAAGACAAAGAGCCTTTAGTCAGGAAGCCCATTTTGATCCGTTGGGCTGAACCTAGAGGGTCAGTGGAAGATCTTAGGTGACGACAGTGAAGTGTGACATTGAGCGCTTCTCTGAAAGTCTCTATTTAAGAGTGTTTTATTTGCTTAGGTTACAAAACACACACACCAGAAAGTAGGAGCTTTATAAAGAAGAAATTTTCCTCCAAGTGCTGCCCACCTACTTTCTGCTCCTTTATATGGTGTGGGTTTGTAACACAGGCATTTCTGTGCCAGATCAGATCAGTAATGAATCTAACCTAATGTCCTCTTTTTGACTTGGCTTGATACTTGATGAAATAATAGGCGTTTTGGTGGCATCCAGAAGACAATTCCTGCGCTTTCACTGAGCAGCCGAACTGTGCCCTGGAGCCTGATTGTGTATTTTAAAAATTCCATTGCCTGCATGGTATAAATTCTCATTATTATTATTCGATTGCCATCTCAGTGGTGATTTGTGATGAGGTTCCACAGCCCAGTTCAGCACCTTTGCCTGGCAGCTTCACTAAATACTCGTTTCCAAAAAAACCAAGGCTAGCAGTCTCTTGATCTGCCATCAAAAAAATCCCCATCCCGTGTCCCAGGCACTAAGCTGTGCACCCTAAACTCTCTTACAGTAGAAAATATTCTTCTGCCCCGTTTTTTGATGTTTTCAGTTCAGGCAAGTGATCCTGTGTGTCGTTCGAACAGGAAGCAATGCAGTGCGTGGAGGAGCTGAGCGCCCAGAATCTGCTGCCTGTTTTCGTGCGAGTGGGAGTGGAGTCGACGCTCGAGAGGAGTCAGATCACCAGGGATCACATGGGCCAGTTATTACATCAGTTGGTGCAGTCGGGAAAGCTGAGCAAGCAGGATTTCTTCAAGGGGTTTGTATTCTGCGCGTAGAAACGGATACTTTTCTTGAGTATTGATTGCAAATGTTTGTTTTGAAGAGGAATGATTTCCTACCTTGCTTTGGTATCCTGCCTTCTCCACACATCCTTTTTGAAGGAGCATTTCTGCCTGGGTGTATTCATAAGTAATGTAATTATTGAAATATATTTTTAAGTATTTCACATGCTTTAGTGAATGTAAATATTTCCGTATTTATACAAGTATTTATTTCTAAGCAAATACGTAGGTGTATATTTAAATATGCATGTTTAGATTTCTGTTTTGTGATGTGCTTGTCAATGTTTGCCTTTTGGCAAATCATTGAATACGATTAAAAGAGGAGGAAGAAGACAAAAATCTTCTCGTGACAGTAATGCCTGGAAGCTGTGTAGCCTGAACTCCTGTGCATCCATAGAACCGCAGCTGCTCTCCCACTGGTAAAACAGGTTTCGCCCATACGATGTAATTTCTCAGGACAACTCAACTTTAAGGACTAGACGTGTCCTCGAGGGGTTGAGAAGGAGAATATGCTCCAGATGCGGTATCAGACAGGTCAGATCTTCCAGATCCGAGTTTCGGCTGCTGGTTCATTTCAGCTCTCTGAGTTTTGTGTTCCCAGCCTGATTTGAATGGATGTCCAGTTGTGAAAGGATCCGTGTTCCCAATGAGGTCCCTGGCACCACTCAGTTGTTGCTGGGGCTTAGAGCAGGGTGATTAAGACAGGGATAACCACGAAAAGCAGCCGGCGAACAAGCAGATGAAATAATGCTTTCAGAGACTGAGTTTCTGGGTAGTTAGCTCCGTCTGGCTGCTTTTATTTGAATCATGTCTCACACGGCACCGCTGACCGCGCCGATGGTGATCTCCCTGCTTCGTGTCTGGCAGTGAATTTCATCGTGATGCAATCCAGTGGCTCACAGGAAAAGTTTAGGCAGCCTGAGTTCAAAACCACATGGAACAGCAGTAAAAAATATATAACCACAGGGAGTACACTTGTCTGTGTCCACGCCGTCACTGATGGTCAAAACAACTCGTTTGAAGTGATAAATTTCCATAACAGATTGTGATTAAAGCCGTTCCTGTGTTTCCTGGAGTGTGGATATGGATAAGTGGTTGTGATGCCAAATAAGTAGGATCTTGATGAAATAGTGGGACGTGCGGTCTGAATGTGGCACAAACCAAATGAAACAGCTCCTGAAGATGATGAAAGGGCGAGTGGTGTTCAGCGAGCACGTGAGAAGAACACCGAAAACCACTATACTTACTCACGCAAGACAAATTACTGTGTAATTAGAGGTTACGGGATGAGTGCTGGTCACAGCGCAAGTCTGGAGAGATAGACATCAGGAAACTAATTTCTGGCAGAAATGCTTGGACAAACCTAGGTTGAACTAGTAGCAGAGGGTGCAAAGGAGGTGGTTTCTGGGTTTGAAGCACAAGAGAAAATGCGCATTTATAGTCACTAAACTGGACCCCAGAATTTTCAAGGTTTTCAGGGAGAAATGAACCATGATGAAAACTGGCAGGAGAGCCAGAAAAATTATCATCTTGTACCAGCCGTGGGAAGTGAAGCCACCTACAAGGCTTTTATTGGAAAGAAGAGTTTTGAGCGATTCTGGAAACTGTATCCAGTGTTGGGGAGCAATTTTGTAATTCATCCTGCCAAGTTTTCTGTTGTGGATGGAAACCTCCCCCTGTGTACTGAACTTTTTTCTTGTGTTGTTTTACGTACTTACAGACATTTTGCTGATTCCTTTACATTTGGACTTCTGTTATTATTAATCCCCCTTCTGTTTGGATCTTTTTAAGAAGGCTCCATTTATTAGATGGTTTGCATTTATAGACAAAAATGCTTTTTAGTTTTACAGGTTTTACTAGTTAGCAAACAATTTGTTACCGGGATATAAGAATTATTGTAAATGGAGCTTTCCTGGATGTATCTGCTGGTTTTACAAAAAGACGCTGGTTTTGGAGAATACTCTCCATGTTACATACTCTCCATGTTACTGTGTAGAGAAATTCACTCCTGGCAGTTCTGAAGCACTGAAAGCATAAGATGGCAATAGTCTTTTTTTGTTACCTTTGTGATTCTCTTCTCTCCTCTTTTCTGTGACAAAGGATTTTTAAAGCATGGATTTGCTTTGCAGGAAAAGTCTCAAATTAAATTGTATTTAATGCTTGACATTTTTCCTTCTTCTTTTCAAGCTTTTCAGATACCTTGGAGATGGCGGACGATATGGCCATAGATATACCCCATATTTGGTTGTACCTAGCTGAGTTGGTGACCCCCATGTTAAAAGAAGGAGGAATCTCTATGAGAGAACTTATACAGTAAGCAATGCTGTTCTTTTCCAGTGTCGGTCGAGCTGAGCTGTCTGCTATGCTATAGTATTTTCACAGCGTGGTTCCCATCAGCAGATAAAAGACAAATAGCGTTAGAGGCTCAGCTTCTCGTACGAGTTGATAAAAGGCTTGCTGCACACCGTTCGGGACTTGCACCAGGCTGAAAGCTGTGGTGGGAAGGGAGCTTGCGGCTCTGTGGTCACCACTCAGGGGTGGAAGTTTTATCTGTAAATCTACTTCAATCCTGTTTGTTTCAGCTGAGCTAAAAACTACCCCAGTGTTGTACAGTCGGAGTCATTTGAGAGCACACTGAGGCTCCGAGAATTAGGTTTGAAGAGAGCGAGGTATCGCACAGGAGTCTTTATGTCTCAGAGTGCAATAACTACCACCTGGGCATTGCCTTAAACGGGCACAAAATCTTGCCTGCAAGACTGGAAACTGTTTCCAGGACCAGAGTTTCTGTATTTCGTATATGTCCTTTTGTATTTGGGGATTAACTAGAAGCCAGTTGAATGGTTCCCTTTTCCTGTAAGTAGTGTATTAAGAAAACAATAGCCTTTTCCCCAAAAAGGGTCCTGCTACCCGAATGCAGCGTCCCACAAAAATGTGTGGATTTGACATTACATAAAAATAAAGTATTTGTAATTAGCCCTGTTGTGGCAAGTGCACTGCATCGCTGAAGTCTCTTATCGGCAGTGCTAGCTAGATCAAATCCTTTATCCCTGGCAGAAGTTAAAGGTGATTTCCTGCCTCAGTTTGATCGCTACCCCTTGCCTTGCATTCCAAATTCAAATTATAAGGAAAAATATCTGGTTTTCTTTCATTCTAGAGAATTTAGCAAACCTTTGCTTCCTGTGGGAAGAGCCGGCGTCTTGCTTGCTGAAATCTTGCACCTTCTATGCAAACAAATGGTAAGTGTCCAGGTGTACCGTTTGTAGATAGGAGCTGGATGCAGCGAGTACATGTTTATGCGTGAAGCCTACACGTTTCCCACGTGAAGATATTTAGGGATGGGCCAGCCAGTCCAGATAACCTAGGAAACCCGCCTCTTCATCCCCAGTTTCAAATCAAGCCTTACAAGGTTCCAAAAGTTGAGTTAACTTCTTTTTTTCTCATCACTTTTCCCTTTTGCAGGTACCTTTGCACCTGGCTTCTTCCAGAAGCTAGAGTGCTGAAATACTGCAAGAGGGACATTCTCAAGGTATTTCTGGGCTGACCAGAAGCAGCAAGTGCCGGAAATCTTGCGAAAGAGGTGTTCTTGCAGACCGGAGAGGTTCTGAGGGTTCGGATAAGCTTCAGATGGCCTCTCAGACCTCTCACCTCTGGGTGCTTACCCAAACTAAACCTGCTAACTCTTAAGAGTCACCCATGACGAGGGGTAGTGACACTTTCTCACCCTGTAACTTCTAGAGCTCTCTTACACATTTCACAGTTGTGTGTCCAGACAGTTTGGTGGTTTCCCTATAACTCTGTCTCCATTTTTTGTCTTTTTTTTTTTTTTTTTAATCCAGCTAAATACTGCACTTTGGATAGCGTCTATTTTAAACCCTGTAAAATCACTCAGTTGCCTTTTTTTTTTTTTTTTTAAGCACGCATTCAAATAAGGTTGAATGTTCCAGGAGCATTTCAGTCTAGCAGTGCAAATAGTGACTTTTTATTTATTTTAGCCTTATGCTTGTTTGGACAGTTGACTTCCATTTATTTTTCTCTGTTCTGTGAAAGAAAAGCTGCCATGCTCTGCGGGTTGAAGCACAGGCTTGGGTTTCTGTTTTTGCCACAGCGTTCTAATTTGATCTTGTCCAGGCCAATACTTGGACTCGGGTATTTCAATGTAATATCAATCATCTAATTCAGGTCCCGATGAATCATAGCAGGAACTATGCACAATTAGCTCTTAATGATCTGCATTGTAAACTTAGAGTTGTAATCTGCTTTGTAAACTAAAAATCAGGCTGCTTTTATCAGTGCTTAACTGAGGGTGCGCAGTGATCTCCCTTGTGCAGGTGCTTTAAGGTAAAGGTTTTTGCAAAGCATTTGGGTGAAAAGAGCTGGTTGTTACTAGTATTTTTATTGTCAGAATTACATATATGCCGTCTTAGGCAGAATACCAAAAGGTCAGTGTGACATTAGAGGATGCGGAAGGTTGAACTGTATGTGCTGCAAAGAACTTTTCTCAAGGTTTGCAATAAATTCTAGGAATTGAAGGGTGAACTTGGGATTATGTACCTGAATTTGAGGCTTGATCTCTGCACAGAAAACAGCCATGTAAATAATTATTTTCTGAAAGTAGCTAATTTGCCAGTGCCTTAATGTCAAGGCAGGGGGAGAATGAGTCAGAGTAAGTTAATGACAGAGTCAGGAGAAGACTCTAAGTTGTCTCACTGCCAGCTCTGTGTCACGGCCGTGGGAAACTGCCTTGTTCAGATGTGTCACTTCTCATAGGTAATCTCTGGCTGCAGTTGTTGCAAACCCCACGTGTCACGTTATGCCTTGTTTATTACCCAGCACCGCAGCGTTTGACCACTTGACAAGATGTGTATACCTGTGGCAGGATTGCGTATATGATTCCTCTTGCACGGGATTTCCAGACGTTTTCACTTCATTGTTAGGCGTCTTGTTTGGTGGCTGAACGGTTCCTTATTTCTCCTGACACAGCTGCACCGCTCCGGCTTGTGTAAGCTCCCCTGGTTGTCTCTCACGTCTTTAAAGCGAACAAACTGTTTGTGTTTTAGAGCCATAAGAAAGTGGGAGCCTTATGGAGGGAGACTGGCCTCAGTTGGAAGGACTACTTACCCGAAGGGGAGGATGTACATACCTTTCTCATGGAACAAGTGAGTTCAGAGCAAGCATTTGCTTAACGATTTTGGCACACTGATTTTTGGCCCCACGTCCCGTTTTTTCATCCTCTTCCATCCCATTCTTACGTATAGTTGGTATGGGGTGTGGGGTGAAGTGTCTCCCTCACCAAGTCGGGGTTAGATTATTTCAGCACCTCCTTTCTGAAAAACCGGGGGGACGGGCTTGTCCCCTCTGATCCCAGGCGCACATTTCCTGTCAGCTGACTTCCTCTAGGAGATCTGTTTCTCCAGCTGCGGGGAATGAACTCAAGAACGAGTTTTGCAGCAAGGACAGATGATCTGCAGAAGGCCCAGAATAAATGGTAGCAATGAATTCACTCATCCACCTTGCATTATGATTCCGGAGGGTTTCACAACCGAGAGGAGCCAGGACTGATGGAGGGCACCTTGCACCTGGTGGTGCTCCCTAAGGAAGAAGCTGGAGGTCTCCCTTTGAAGCTCCAAGTGATCCTCTGCCCTGTTTTAGCACTTAGGAAGTGCTGCGCTGTAGGAAATGAAACGGATTACCACGGCCTGGGGCTTGGTGAGGGGACTGTAGATCCTCTGTCACATTTTGCAATGAATTGGGGCGTTAGCTGCAATTTCTTTGAGCGAATGCCAGTTCTGGTAATTGCATTCCAGCTCCCCGTCGTTTTAGTTGAGCAACATGCACTTTATTTTGTGCACACTCGTGTTGTGTAGGGCTGGAGTTGCTCTGAGATGGCTGGTTGTCTTTGCTGGATAATGTAGTCCCCACATGTTTGTAAAATGCTTTATAATCTTTGGAACAGAAAAAGTATGTAAATCATTGTAATGATAACTTAGCAGTTGAAAGATGCCAGAAAGCAGAATGAAGTGTAGCTTGCTGCCTCAATTTGGTATAATTCAGCATAGGAAAGTATATTTAACTAATTCTCATCATCACTTCTGACGTTGCAGAAGTTGGACTTCACGGAGTCCGACTGTTCCAGTTCCTCAGAAGCACTTTCAGAGAAAGAACTCTCTGCGGAAGAGCTGAACAAGCAGCTAGAAAAACTCATTGTTGAGGACAAGGCGAATGATGAACAAATCTTTGACTGGGTAGAGGTACAAAGACTATTTTCACCCTCCCTGCACACAGTTCGTTAACTGCTTTTGTAAATATTTTTTCATCTAAAGGAGCATCTCTGCAGGCTCCTCCCTAGGCACAGGACACTAAGACAATTAGGTCTGTGCAATCAACACTTCCAAAGAATTAAGATGTAAAATATAATCGGTCTGTTATTTCAAAGCAAGCTTTAGGAAGAAAGAATTTTAGCCATATTAACATATATCTGTGTAACTGCCTTTTAAATACTGTAGACTTTTTGACTCTGAAAACACTGCTTCTGGCTACTTACTACATTTTAGACTGAGTATACTGCTACATTCTTTCCTCCCAAAATATGGGATAAAAGCATCTCATTGTTTTTTGCAACGTGACCTACCAAATTCCCCCTGCCCAACTGCATGCCCTGCCACGCTGCAAAAACATGCTGGGCAGTCGCTGAGGGCACATGTACCTTTCCCAGTGCATTGGACCAGTAACTGTAAAAGAAAATAAAGAAAAAGAAAAAAGAAAGAAAAAAAAAAAAGAAGCCCTGTCAACCCACTGATCTTTTGCCCTCTATCTCTGGCTGCATTCTTTAAGCCAGATTTTAAATCTAGTGTCTGAAATGATGCTCAACCTGATTCATTTAGATCTGTGCTTACAGCTAAATCGTGGTCAGCTTCATTTCAGTTACTTCTATTGCCGGAGCAATGTGTTAGAAATGTCACTTTTCTGCTGCTGTTAGAGAAGTCGAGAGTGGAATGAAAGCAGCACTGAAAATCTGGGGACACCCACAGGCTCTTTGTAGTCTTGGACAAGTTACATAGACATTCTCTGTATTTCTCCTACAAAGCAAACAAATCTCCACCCAAAGAGCATGCTGTAAAATTTATTGAAAAAGTCTAAAACTCTTAGAAAATGTATAAGGGCGTTGTAAAAGCCAAGCGTTGTTGGTTTGGTTTGTTTCTCGAGACAAACGACTAGTTGTGGGAGTGGGTAAATGGTGTATTGATTGTATGAAAACTGTTGTTGCATGTTGACGTACCTGAGCTAGTTTCAAGAAGTGAATGGGAAAGCTGCGTTTTTGCAGAGGGGTGAACTGGATTTCTGCTGCAGCAGCTTTTGGTGAACTTGAACTTGCTGCCAAATTCAGCAATGGAGTTTGGAAACGGTTGCTCTCATGCAGCGGCGTGTTTTTAACTGGTCCATTTACTCTTGATTTCAGGCTAATCTAGATGAAAGCCAGATGAGTTCACCTACATTCCTTAGAGCTTTAATGACAGCAGTTTGTAAAGCAGCTATTATAGGTGAGTAACTTGCAATGTAAACACCGTACAAACCAAACGTGCAAAGAATGACTTTATGTTTCTCAGGTTTATATCACTTTTCCCTCCCCTGAGGCTGTTTTTTTTGATCACACACTAAGACTTTTGCACCATATTGAATTCTAGTGCCAGAGCGGGATGTCTGTCCCCCCTGCGACAGCCAGGCGCTTTGCCTGCTGTGGTGTTCTCGAGGCCCTGGCGTGTCCCGGTGACCTTGCGTGAGCAGACGTTTCAGACGACTGAGTAATGCCAGATTGTTCATTGAGTTTTCTAGTGAAGGTGGAAATGCGCTAGACGTTATTAAGATAATTAGCATTTCCACTCCTGTGTCAGCAAGTATGCGTGGGCGCTCTACCATCGCAGATTGCCACGTGCGAGTTGGAAGTGTGGGTTGCAGAAGAGAAGCCAGCCTGCGTCTCTGTCTTGTTAATAGTTTTATGTCCAAAGTTGCAATTTTAGAAAGACGGTTTATGTGGATTACTTCAGTGTACAGCAGTCGGCTGGAAATGGAGGAAAGGGTGGGTTCCCAAGTCAGAAGTGTGAGCCTCAGACCCGCAGCGGGGCTTGAATAAAGCGCTGCAGCCAGAAACATCTGGTCAGTTCACTTTGTTCTCTTTAACTTCACTGTTGGCATCTGGCAAGGCAAAAAATTGTGCTTGTAAAGCGCCCGGTTCTGCTCTTAGCTGTAAGAGTCACGCTTGGCAGAGAGAACGGTCTGAACTTCATCTTGCTGCGAGGGGAAAGACAGCCCAGCTCCTTTCTTCTCCCTGAGAACAGAACCTTTCTGATGCCACCTAGTGTTAATGGCAAAGTGACACAGGATTTGATTACAAGTGTTTAAGGGTTCCCTGATGTGTATCAGGAACATCTTCTCCTGCTTTACGTTTTGACGTTGCCTCTAATTGAGGGGTTTTTTTCCTTTTGTTTTCAAAATGTCACTTAAGTGTGTTGCATGATCTACTTAAAAGCTGCTGAATAATTTATCCATGTTGCTGATGGACTTCTAATGTGTATTTTTAATATAGTCCTGATTTCCTATGTCATGTGCAGCTTATGATTCTGTTTCTGCCTTAGTATTTTTAGAAAAAAAAAGATACAATTTTCTAAAAACCTTCTATATAACTGCAGTTCTAGCTCTAGCCATTGTATGCACTTCGGACATCCAGTTGTCTGTGGAAACACAATGATTTGCACTGCAAAGTAAGGTTGTAATTCTTCTGCGTGTGTCAGCAGGCTGGTTAGGGCCCAGGTCGCTGCAAATAGTGGTTAAATTTGAGGAACTGGAAGAACCAAGACTTCCAGAAAAAGCCGTTGATCTGAAATACTTCCTGTTGTTTCTCGTGCTCTTTTCTCTCCACGCTAACCTGTATCTGTGATTTCTATTTGAATAAATAGAGGCGATAAAAGAGCCGCCCCTGCTGCTATGTACCAAAGCTGACCCTGTTTTCTTCTCTTCCCCTCAGCGGACTCTTCTAGCTTCCGTGTGGACACTGCTGTTATCAAACAGAGAGTGCCGATCTTACTCAAGTACCTAGACTCAGACACAGAGAAGGAACTACAAGCACTTTATGCACTACAAGCATCAATAGTAAAACTTGATCAACCTCCTAGTAAGTGTTGCCTCTGTCCTGGGGATTTGAACCCTGACAGTATGAGGAAAAGTTGTTTCTGCGAGGGTAAAGTCTAGTGGTAGAGACTGGAGAAGGATGTGCTTTGCCTTACCTTTGTATGTAGCAGATGAGAGAAAACAGCGTGCAGCGGTTTCCACTTGTCCAGATTCCAGCTTTTGGAGCAGAGCAGGTCCCCAAATGCTTGGCCAGAGGCCGGCTCTTCTCTTGGTTGCTCCTGTCAGCAGCCATGCAGAAGGAAGGACAAACCTCTGTTGATAAAAAGAGAGGGGTGGGGGGGAATAGCAGTAAAAAATAATCTGTTGAGTTTACAATACCTGGACACGTGAGAGCACCGGGCATTGTAATTGCGTTGCTGCACCACAGATGTCTGTGGACTTGGAGGGAATAAAACAAGTTGGACAACTGATGACTCTTGTCCCAGAGACACTGCAGAAAACTGTTGTTGGAAAAGAGGCGAGGGAGTGGCCAAAGAAACAGGGATTCCCGAGGAGTCTGCAGCACAAAATCAAAGAGTGCCCAGAAATACCCAACTTGATTGTCCTTAGCTTTAGGGTGCTAGTCGTTCGTTATCCCTCCTGCTGAGCCGCGAAAAATCAGTTGTTGGAGGGGAGCCAGGCTGCCACGGTCCAGCGAGAGGAGGACAGGCTGCTGTGGATTCTGCTTGCCGGCCAATCCCTAGATAATACGTTCCCACGGCTGCTTTCCCAGCTTTTCCTTTTCTGCGGAGCGTGTGTTATCCGACAGCATCAGAGGGACCTGTTTTCCCTCTCAGCTGTGTGTAACCAGCCAGGAAGCAATAACTCAGTAACAGACCTTCCTTTTACTTGTGTCTGCATCTCTTGCATTAAAGGTCACATTAATCCCCTTATCCGTAACCGTGTCTTTGTCCGCTGACTTAAACTGCGCGGTACTAACAGCTGTTCTCTTCCGTTATTCCATTATTGCAGATTTGTTGCGGATGTTTTTTGATTGCCTGTATGATGAGGAGGTAATATCAGAGGATGCCTTCTACAAGTGGGAAAGCAGCAAGGACCCAGCGGAGCAGAACGGGAAAGGAGTAGCGCTAAAATCTGTCACAGCATTCTTCACGTGGCTACGGGAGGCCGAAGAGGAGTCAGAGGATAATTAAAACTTAAATACAGAGAGAGAGAAAAAAAAAAAAAAGGAAAAAAAAAAAGAAACAATTTAAGTATTTTTTTAAAAAGTTTCACGTCTTCGCCAATCACAGTGCAGCAAGGCCAATTCTCGCGCAGACCCCCCCTTCCCCCACACATGCACGAGTGGGAGAGGTAAAAATAGATAAACACAAAGGTGATCATGGAGGAAAAAAGGTACTTGAAAAAAAAAAAAGTAAACTTCAAACCTGAGGGCGGGAGCACTAAACCAAAATACATGTATTATTTATAGAAAATATTTTCTGTTTTAATCTTTTTTTTTTCTTTTCTTTTTAAACAAGGACTCATGCTTACAAAAACACAACGCGAAACAAATCTGTTTAGCAAAAAAAAAAAAAGTTGAAAACTTTTAATTTATTATTTTAAGGACTGCAAATGCCAGTGTAATTTTTAAATTTGCAGTTTCTGTAAACAAATTGTATAATAGAACAAAAGCAGAGAAATAAATTTCCCTCCCCTTCATATGCACCTCAGTTTTGTTTCAAAGCATGATAAATAGACAAAACTTTCAAGGGGGTTGGGGTAAGCTAGATGAGGAAGAGATCAATTTTTTTTTTTAATTGTCGTCAGATTTTTCTGCCTGCCTCTCAGCTTGCTTCAGAAATTTAAAAAGAAAATAGTAATCAAAACGTACATAACCTTGGAACGGAAGGAAATGCATTTGAGAAAACCGCTGCGGACCAGAGTGCTCCGAAAATAACTCATTCAAAACAGTGCTACCCTGGGGAAAAAGTACTAGTGATACTTTCAGAACCTTTAGAGCAACTTTAAGGCTTGTAAATACATAGAACAAATATTTAAAAAAAGAAAAAAAGAAATTGACTCAATACTATTTCTTTTCACTTTCAAAATATAAAGAACAAAATAAAGACAAACATTGCAAGTTTAAAAGAAAGTAAAACGACTTCTCCTTTGACAGCTGCTGAATGTGTGCACCATCTCTGAGCGGTGCTGGCTTCCTTTTCATTGTGTAGATCCTCGGTTCCAAATTGTGTACAGATAGTGTGTGTATGTATGTGTGTCTACCAAAAAAAGAGGGGTGAGAGCAATTGTTGTTTTAAAAAAAAAAAAAAAGAAAAAAAAAAAGAAAAAAAAAAAGGGGGTTGCTGCTTGGGAGACCTTTTCTGCAGAGAGAACTTAATGGCCGATGAGCAGCTGGCTGGGCTGCTGTACCGTGTAGGTGCGTTTGGTTCCCAGCACGTTGCCGCGAGGCTGGGAGACGACATCGGCGCGGCCGGTGCGCCATCCCAGCTTGGTTTTTCCAGCCGTGCGGCCGTGGTGTCTCTCATGTGACTTGGATCAGTGGCGTCGTCCTGGGGACTTGGGACCCTGGTAGCTCTGGAGGTCGCAGCTGCTCGAGCAGAGAACCGACAGCCCTTCGCCATGGCTTGTGCATCCGATGCCACCCAGCTTCCGCCGCTGCCCTTCGCATCTGCCGGTTGCCTTGCTGTGCCTAAGGAACCCAAAGACCCGTACGGGTGAAAACGAAAGCGCCCTACAAGAGTCAAGAGGTGGAACAAGCGATGCGGTGCTCTTCCCGGCCCTGCCAACCCCGTGACGGGGTCTGAAGTCCGAGTGCAGCCCGGGTACAGATTAACAGTGGTCGCTTTGCAGTGCAGCCGGAGCGCGCGTTTTCTGTGTGCCCAAAGGGACCTCAGCCGCGCCCCGACACCGCGCAGTCCTCCAAACTGAGCTGCTGCTGGGTACGTTAAGTCTCTTGTGTGTCTCTCTTCAACAACCAAAGATGACCTGCTGGCTCTCACTGTGAAGAAGCATCTACCATAATACAGTCTGCAAAGTTTGTGAAGCCCTAAAATGTATTTTGTGAACTGTGGTCCGTGGACCGCGAGTAACCTGTGGAGCATTTGCTGGTGGTCTGTGCAGCACTAGCTGCTCACATGATGCTGTCTTTTTCTTTCCAGCTGCTAAATCACTTCTTTTTTTTTCTTAAAAAAAAAAAAAAAAAAGGAAAAACAAGGAAAAAAAAAAAAAGGCTACAAATACATTAAATACTTTCCTAATCTTACTTTTACATGTAAACAATTGCTGTACTTGCATAAGGATGTTATTTGATCACCAAGGGGAAGGGAGGAGGGTGCCTGGTTGTGGCTGGAGGGGAGGTGTCCATGAGACACTTTCCCTGTTAACATGTGTTCCACGCCATGAATCTGAGCTAGAGAATCCATGGCCTAAAACACTAGAGCATTGTTTGGTTCTTTTTTTAGTAACAATAAAACACTTTTCTCTGATGTTTTGTTAAAAAAAAAAAAAGAAAAAAGAAAAAATATTCTCACCCTTAATATATGCATATGTATGTATCTGCTTGTACGACATCCAGCGACTCCTCGTCCTCGGCCACTTCCCCTCCCGGCCTCGCAGTCGGGCCCAGCGGTTTGGCGACGGGCGCTCTCGAGATCTCCGAAAGGCTCATCCGCACGGAAAACGCCCAGCCAGCGGGTCTCAAGGTGTGTTTGTTGAACGCTCTGCAGAAGGCCATGTGGGTGCTCTTCCCGCAAAAGGCATTGTTGAGCCAGAACATGAGCGGGTACGTGATGGTTTGTAGCAGTTAAATAGTTGAATTAAATGGATGGGAGTTTGTATGTAAATGAGGCCAAATATTTGCCAAGTCGGTGTGTGCACCTGATGAATTTCCTCTGTGAGGATGGGCAGTGTCAGACCCTGCTGGGAATGTGAGTGTGCGACAGCGGAGCCGTGCCGTGCAAGGACTGTGATTTATTTATTGATTGCCTTGAATCAGAAAGGAAGAAATTGCTAGAGCCTTTGAACAGCTGCGTGAATCAGTGTCAGGGCAGGGAAATTTGTTTGGGGAGCTTGAATCTTTTGGCTGAAAGAGTTGGAAAACCACTGGCTGGAGAGCATGGGAACGGTGAGCACGGGAACAGTGTGGGTAGAGGAGAGATGAGAAAGTCTCTCCCTTCCTTGTTTGAGCCTTTTAATGTTAAATGTTCCAGCGGGGTGAGGAGTTGCCCTGTTAGTGTCCTGCAAATGCCAGGAAGAGAGTTCTCAGAGGGTTTAAGGGGGTTTTTTTCAGAATTATCCAAAGGCTCTGAAAAGCTGGGTTTGCAGCATGGCAAGCTTTGCATTTTCTTAAGCTACATCAGTTAAGCTTCATGTGGAGTGCTGTGAGCAGTTCATGCACGAGGCTTTGAGGTCTCCAGCTGTGGGTGTGTTACCTTGAGGTTCAGCTTCCTACAAATGTCGCCACAAGGAGCATATCTGACACCAGTCTTGGACCGAAACTGCCTCTTCCGCTCCCCTCACGCTGTTTTCTACGTGCCGCTTGCTTACCTGCACCTATACTGAGATGTGGTTGCTTTTCAGTCACCTTCTAGATCAGCACAGGTTTGCAGGCAGTTGTGGCTCCTCAGGATGCAGCCCGTGGTCCCGTAAGATCTTTGCAACACATCTTTTCCTGAAGGGTATTAAAATACAAAAAACTAAGAGAGATATGAAACAGAAAAGGGGATAATTAGTTAAAAGAAGTTCCTGTGGGAACGCAATTTGTGGGAGCCTTATTTTACCTAAGTGAGGAGAGGTGAGCTGTGGTTACTCCTACCTAACATTACAGCAAAGCCTAGGCAGGGAGGACAGCAAATTTCCCCCAAGAATATGAAAGGTTTCAGTGTGTTGAGTTTTTTTCCTTCCATTCTTGGTCCTGTAAGGCCTTTAAACACATCATCTGGGCACGCTCGTGAAGGCGGCAGGGAGTTAATGCAGCTCAGCAGAAAAGAGCTGCATTAGAAGCCATTTCCGCTGCTGGGAGCCCTTCTTGGGCTGAGGCTGTGCGCACTATCAAAGGCACGGGCAAGGAGGAGCAGATGCATCGCTTACGTCCCCGTTTATTGCTGAAAATGTCCCCAAACCTGAAGAAGTTAAACAGAAAATTTCCTGGCCAGGTGTCTGCCTAAGGCTGGTTTCTTTCTAGGAAAGTGTTTTCAGAAATGGATCAGCCGTTTCTGTGAACAAGGTCAGGGAATACACCGATACCAGAAGTTGCACTCTGTCTGCTTGTGTTAACATGTTCAGGTTTTAACCTTATTTTCTCAAGAAGCCTCTGGTCCAGGAGCAGACCTTGGTGTGTGGAAAAATCTTTCGCCCGGGATCAGCCCTCCCTGGTGCAGGAGCTGGTAGCCAGAGGCCATGCAGCAGGAGAGAGGATACCTCTGCAGAGATGATTTTTAGTGTGCACAAGGCGGGTTTAAGTAAGTAGTAACTTACACTGGTGGTTGCTGTGTTCCTGCAACCCACAGAGCTTTTGGTTCCAACCCTATAGACCGTTTTTTCTGATAAAGGAAAAACAGGGCCTCTAAAAAATCCCATTAATTCGCTGAGCATCCTGAAAACGTTTAAAACCAATTGCAGATGTCGGCATCTCGTTGCCAAGAGGGTGGCTGTAAGTGTTCCTGTTGCATTTTGTTCCAGCGCGAGTCATTTTTGCAGACGAAGGGACCTGAATCTGGTTGCCTTGTCAGACGCGTTCGCTGCAGAGCAGAAAAGCTGTTACAGCTATGCCCCTGGTGCTGCTCACTTGGTATGTTTTACAGATGTAAGAGGTTAGCTTTGGGGGTGATAAGCTCAAAATCAGACCCCCCCAGAATGCTTTTATGCCCTTAGATACAACACCTCTAGCTTCTCTAAGATCTGCACCAGGGAAATGGCTCGCGGCACTGAGCTCCCTTGGCCGCAGGTCGGTACGTGGTGGTGGTGAGATGCCACGTGGTAGGAGTTTGGTCAGGGCTGCCATGCGCTACGTGGGGATGAAGCTGTCGGGAGATGTTCAGGCTGGCAAGCACTGAGCTCCCGCTTTACGCAGTTCTGGCACGGAGAGCTTGGCCTTTCTGCTCTTTGGAAGACGTCGGCCCTCTGCTGCTACCTGATCCTAGGCCAACTGAGCGGCATCTCCAGCCAAGCAGCGTCAGCAGGAGTGTGAGCTCTTCGCATGCCGCTTTCTTTTAATAAGGTGCCAACCCGGAGGCTTGCACGAGACGCGGTGCGCTGATAGAAATTCCAAGCAACGGTTTGATGTGGCCTGGGGGCAAGGTGCAAGCTGCAACAACCAGGATGGAGCCTGGGGTTGAGGAGCTTCAGCCCAGAGAGTCCTGCTTGGCTGCCCGTCTCCCAGCCCAGCTCTGTGGATAGATAACCCGCAAGGAGTTTCATTGCAGGAAAACCACAGTGATGGGCAAGCAACTGCAGCAAGGGATTGATTAGCTCACTCAGCTTCCAGCAGCGTGACTAAATCCCTGCTGATATGCAAGAAGACTTCACTAGAAGTTGTCTACCCTTGTATTTTCCAAGGGGCTCCGCTTGCCACCTGCAGGTAACCATCATGGAACTCTAGTTTGCTGAAATAACTCCTGCTTATTTAAATGCTACTGTAGGGATGCCTGACAGCGATCTGTGGAAAGCTTTGGTCACGTGGCACCAGTTTCTCTTCCTCATTTCCAGCTGCTAAATTGCGCTGAAACGGCAACAGAAATAAAACCCACTCCCGCTCCATGCAGTACTTTCCAAAGGGGAATTTGTCCAAGTGTGCAGTGGCTGTCCCAGCTGCAGGGATGGTTGTGCTGTGGTTCCAAATTGGAAAGGGGAGAGGGGGCTTGGGGAAGGCAGTCGATGCTTTCAATTAGGAAATCCTCTTATTACTGAGTGAGCGGAGAGATGGTAAAGCCTGGCTCTTGCACACTTGGTTGTCCTGTTGCAGCCCCCTGCAAGGTTTAATGGCAGATACCGTCACAAAGCAGAGTTTTACTAAGCTCGCAGGGTACAGGGCATTAACGAATAT